GTAAATATTGATGTACATGTGATTTTACAGCTTCTTTATTTTTAGTTAAACGGTATATAGTACATTATATACACTGCCCACCCTATACATATACACATACACATAACTTTCTGATTTTGACTCTTAATGTTATAACATGCACCTTTTATAAAGCTTCTGTGGAAAAATGATTATAATAAACTCAATTTAAAAATTCTATATTCATGACTGGATTTTGCGAATCCATCTGCATTTCCCTCCACACCTCAGTTCATTAAGCAGATTTGACGGCAGACCAACAAACAGCTAGTTGATGATTTGGGTTGTTTTTCCTCCTCCCTCACATCACTTGATTACACTGTTAACACAACACACTTTACAGTGACTTAAACGAATGACCATAGTAATCTGTACAGCACTTAATCATTCTAATTACCAGCTATTAGATTAGTCACTACATGCTGATTACATGCTGTCTGTTTGTATTACTGTGTAATTGCAATGTAGCCTGGAAGCTGCAAGCGTGACCTTATACACTCTTACTCAAGCAACGTGCAAGAGTTACATTTCGTTCGTAATCTATGGAGCCAGATCAGTCTCAAAAATAATGCATTTACGAAATAACTTATTCACAATTAACATTTACAAAAATCCAATTTAAATAATAATTATTTTTGACAAATGAATTGGATTTGCGTATTTACGAATCGTGTTTTGAGCTTACGAATTGGATTTGAGTATTCACGAATTGTGTTTTGAACTTAAGAACTGAATTAGTGTATTTTTGAATTGTATTTCGAATTTTTTTAATTGGATTTGATTGTTTAGGAATCGTGTTTTGAATTTCAAATTTGGATTTGTGTATTTACAAATCGTGTTTTGATCTTTCGAATTATATATGTGTATTTTTTTAATTGTGTATAGAATTTATTAATTGGATTTGTGTATTTACAAATCGTGTTTTGAACTTACGAATTAAATTTGTGTATTTAAGAATCAGGTTTTGAACTTACGAATTAGATTTGTGTATTTACAAATTGTGTTTTGAATTTATGAATTGCATTTGTGTATTTACAAATCACGTCTTGAACTCACGAATTGAATTTGTGTAATTTTGAATCGTGTTTTGAACTTACAAATTAGATTGTTGTATTTACAAATCCCGTCTTGAACTTACGAATTAAATTTGTGTAATTATGAATCATGTTTTGAACTTACAAATTAAATTTGTGCATTTATGAATTGTGTTTTGAATTTACAATTTGGATTTGTGTATTTACGAATCGTGTTTTGAACTTTCAAATTATATTTGTGCATTTTTTTAATCATGTTTTGGATTTACAAATTGGATTTGTGTATTTACGAATCGTGATTTGAATTTTCGAATTGCATTTGTGTATTCACGAATCATGTTTTGAACTTACAAATTGGATTTGTGTAACTAATAATCGTGTTTTGAACTTACGAATTAAATTTGTGTATTTACGAATCATGTTTTGAATTTACAAACTGGATTTGTGTATTTACGAATCGTGTTTTGCATTTACGAATCGCATTTGTGTATTTACGAATCATGTTGTGAATTTACAAATTGGATTTCTGTATTTACAAATAGTGTTTTGAAGTTACGAATTAGATTGATGTATTTTAAATTAGATTTTGAGCTTAGAAATTGGAGTCTGTAAACGTGAATTGCATTGTGGACGTATACATTTTATTTTGTAAATGTATTATTTTTTGAGACTGATCTGGCCATATAATAATCATGGTGCAAAATGAATGCGTGTATTCAGAGAAGTGATTTGCTCTCACCTCTTCTACAACGCTGTCAAAACTGGCACGGTCCACTTTAACCTCTGCCTGCACAGCGGGGACTTATTTACCCGAGTTCCTGGATGTAGTGGATGGTGTGGAGGAAGCACTGGGCCGGAACGAGGGAATACCTTGGAGGAGCAGCGCAGAAAAAGGGCCCATTCAAAGCTGGAATGACAAATAGGTGAGTCTGTTTACGTACACGCTGTTGACACAAGTACGCATTTGGCTCGGTGGGTTATTGCTGGGTATTCGGGAATAAATCTAAACCTTTCACGGCTACCGGGGTCTCGGGAAACAATGCCAAATCTGTTTGGGTTAAAGCCACATACAGTTGAAGTCAGCATTATGAGCCCTTCTGCAAAGTTTTTTCTAATATTTCTGTTTAACAGATTCAGGAATTTTTCACAGTATTTCCTAGAATATTTCTTCTTCTGGAGAAAGTCTTTTTTTTTATTTCAGCTAGAATAAAAGCAGCTTTTAATTTTTGTAAACCTATTTTAGGCTCAATATTATTAGCCCCATTAAGCAATATTTGTTTTGGATTGTCTCCAGAACAAACCACTGTTATACAATGACTTGCCTAATTACCCTAACTTTACCCTAATTAACCTAGTTAAGACTTTACATGTCTTAAACTACACAGAAATAATATATAAACATTTGTGTACCATTTATATAGATATAGGATGTAGTATAAAATGTTTAATTAGTCTTTGCTGATGTTCATAATTTGTCGCTCTGCGAATTTTTCCAGTGCTAGAAAATATGTGGCATTTTCAGATGATCTCGGTAAATAGCCAAAGTGAAATAGATTTGACCTTTGCAAGAACATCATCGAGTGTTAGCAAACAAATCCACAACACGGCCTTTTCTTCCTGTGGAAACTGTGACTGCATCTTTATGTGTGATCTCTGATCTGTCTGATTGTGAACAGGGCTTCAATTAATTATAAAGTACATGTTTAAACACCTCTGTGGTGAATATAAATTTAGCTAAAACTGATATTGATGTCCAAAACAACTTGTTTTGTTGCTCGATATCAAATAACATTGGTATTGTGATACTATTGACACTTCATGTTGGTACTGTTCTCCTCCTAATAATTATTAACAATAATTTAGATATTGGTGTTTAAAACTACTTATGCTGCTTGATATCGAATAACATTAGTGGTATTGTGGTATTATTGACTACATGTTACTATTCTCCTCAAAATAATTATTAGCAATAATTCAGATATTGCTGTTTAAAACAACTTGTTTTGCTGCTTTATATCGAATAACGTTGGTATTTTGGTACTATTCTCCTCCAAATAATTATTAATAATTCAGATATTGCTGTTTAAAACAACTTGTTATGCTACTTGACATCGAATAACGCTAATGGTATTGTGGTACGCTACTGCTGACTCTATGTTTCTCCTAATAATTAACGTTACTATGGCACTAACAGAAAAAAAAGCATGTACAAAATAATAAGATCAGAATTAATTTGGCTCCTGGCTACATGGACGAAAACATCAATGTTGATATTTCTGCAAAAATAGGCTCGAGTTAATCTCAAAATAAATATATAAAAATAATCTCACGAGAAAACGTATTTTACGCTTTGCCAGTTTAGTGGCTAATTCGTACGAATTCGTATGAGTTCAGTCGTACGAAATTGTACGATATTAAAAAGGAGGCGTGGCACCCAACCCCACCCCTAAACCCAACCTTCATTGCGGGATAAGCAAATCGTACGAATTAGATCATCTGAATTCATCCGAATAAGCCACTAAATTAAAAAGTTACGAATTGCCGTGAGATTGTGTTTTCGCTTCACCATCTTGTCGCCACCACGCTGAATCCATCCGGAAAAGCGCGCGCACTCAACAAGACGTTCAGCCATGACTAACCTTAACGAATCTGATTGGCCGTCGTGTTCCTAAACTTAACAGACACACATGTTATTGATTATAAAGTTCCCAGACGTCAATGCATCTTAGAGTAATGCTACATTCTGTCATAAAGAACTAACCTTATTCCAAAGCAATAAGATTCAAGATCATCTCTGAAAAACAAATTAAGATTAAAACACAATAAAAAAAACATCTTGTATATCAATCACACACATCTAGAACGATAAAATTACTAGAACCTGTTCAACAGAAGCCATTGTGATGCAATTGTATCATATGGATTATTTATGAAATAATTGAAATACTTCCACCTGAAATGCAATATTGCAATATATCGGCGTTGTTTTTAACATGGCATGTTTTTACGTCCTTCATACATGTTGAGATCGAGTTTATCGACTTGATGAGGGAATGTCTTGACAATCCACACAGACGTGCAACAAGTAAAATCTTACATGACTTCACGCTTTAACAGACAGTCAAGCAGGTCAAGCACACCAGAAGCGCCGCGACACGTGTGATAAAACTATCACACACCAAACGCGCACATTCGCATGATATTTAACATGAAACTTATCAGATGGCGCTCTGTGGCGCGGCTGAAATATGACCTGTGTCCTGAATTGTGGCTGGGCGGCGCCGGTGTGTGTATAGAAATCTGTTTAGAATTCTAAAATCCATGGCGCTGCGTGGGGCTGCGCGTCGCCGTGCGGCGCTTCTGGTGTGCGACCTGCTTCATACAGAGAGTGAACCAAAGCGCATTGGTGCCATTATAATGTATCAAATATATTTTCTATAAAATCGCGATTTCTCGATTTAATATAAAATTAAATCGTCGTCAAAATGTAAATTCGAATTAATAAAAAAAAACTACAACTGGTATATAAAAACAAGTACAAATACATCTGACATTGTGAGGTCATGAGAGATGAAGTAAAAGAAACTTCGTATTTCATGGGTTCTACACTTTTTGTTGAAGAACCAATAATGAGATCCTGTCTGAATGTTTTTAGGAATTTTATTTTATATTATTAACTTATTTGAATAGATTAATTAGTATATATGTTATTTAAGGTTTAAATTAACATTTTTATTCAGCTTGAATATTATAGGTTGAGAAGACTAGAAAAATTCATTTCACTCAACTAAACAATTTAAGGTAGTAAGATTTGTTTACTGGGCGCACACACATTGATTTTGGTGGTTTATAAGGACTCTCCATAGGTATAATGTATATTATACTGTTAAAAAACTGCATAAATTTGTCCCTACCCTAATCCTACCATGAAACTTGTCAAAGCTTGTGAAACTTTGAAGTGATTTTAATTATGAGGACACAAGGTATGTCCTCATAAACCACTGTAATAGGCCATACACAAGTCATTATGCATATCTTTGTACCTGTAAACCATTAAAACCAGTACACACACACACACACACACTTCTTCGTCCTACTCCTAAACCGAGCTTCACAGGAAACAATCTGCATATTTACAATATCAAAAAATTATATTTCTGTGTGATTTATAAGCGTGTTGACCTCAATTTTAGTCCTCATAAGTTTGTGTGCATTCAGGTTTTAGTGCCTACTGGTACAACAAGTACAAATACATCTGACAATGTCCGGTCATGAGAGAAAAAGACTTTGTGTTTCATCGGTTCTACACTTTTTGTTGAAGAACCAATAATGAGATCCTGTCTGAATGTTTTTAGGAAATTTAATTTTTATTTTATTAACCTATTTGAATAGATTAATTGTTATTTATGTTAAGGTTTAATTAATATTTTATTCAGCTTTAATATTGTAGGTTGAGATGACTAGAAAAATTCATCTGATTCAACTAAACAATTTAAGGCAGTAAGATTTGTTTACAGTGCACACACACACTTTGATTTTGGTGGTTTACGGGGACTCTCCATAGGTATAATGTATATTATACTGTTAAAAAATGCATAAATATGGCCTTACCCTAATCCTACCCTGAAACTTGTCAAAACTTGTCGCAAATTTTAACGTCAAAAGTCTACCTGAAGTGATTTGAATTATGAGGACACAAGGCATGTCCCCATAAACCACTGTATTAGGCCATACACAAGTCATTATACATATCTTTGTATCTGTAAACCATTAAAACCAGTACACACACACACACACTGTTCTTTGACCTACTCCTAAACCAAGCTTCACAGGAAACAATCTGCCTATTTACAATATACAAAAAACATAATTCTGTGTGATTTATAAGCATGTTTACCCTTGGGGACCTCAATTTTAGTCCCCATGAGTCTGTGTGCATTCAGGTTTTAGTGCCCACCAAAAATATACAAACACACAGCTTGTTTCATAACACTTCAACTCGCTCTCTTCAATACATCTGATATTGTGAGGTCATGAGAGATGAAGGAAAAGACGATTGTGTTTCATCAGCGCTATACTTTTTGTTGGAGAACCAATAATAAGATCCTGTCGGAATGTTTTTAAGAAATTATAAAGATAAACCAACATATTTTCTCTCTCTCTCCCCTTTTGGCACTCTAAAGTGGAAACAAAGTTCCCTGCCTTCTTTTTCTGACGCACATTTGCTCATTAATATTTGATTTGTGTGCGTCGTGGTGCGAAACCAAAATGAAAAGCTAAACCAAAGTAAGCTCCCCAGGTGTGAAACACTTTGTCCACAACTGCATACGCATGTGTGTGTGTGTGAAGACTCTCACTTTAGCGTGTGTCTGGTCTTGTTTACACTGACCGTATCAGCGTCCGCATTCATGCTGCCATACATGAGTTATTCTCTTTCCTATGTGGCCGGAGGGGGTTTTGAGGCTCCAGCACGCTTAATTTAAACCTGTGGCTGAAGCAGTGTGTTGCTCCTGAAACAGCGCACTATTTCATCTTCCCAGAACCCGGAGGGACACTGGCAGGCCCGAAGGCTGTTACGGCTGCAAGTACCACAAGACAAAAATATCATGCAGGATTGGAAATGATGGGGGGGGGGGGGGGGGGGATATGCCTTGTTTACATTGAAGGAATAAAACGAACTTGTGTTTGAAATTAGATTTCAGATAAGAGACGTTCAACACTCACAAAAATATAAATGTTACTACAGTACTTTTGTGTATTTATGTGAGTGTGTGTGTGCAGCACACATGGCAGCATCTGTTAGCAGCGGTTTTGTCCTTGACTGATCTCTGTTTGCCTGTAAAGAGTGGTCTTCATCCCGGACTCCCCTGCTCCTGCTTTCTGCGGGCCTGCTGGAAGCCCTGTTTGGCTTCGGTCATCATGTCCTTGTAGAACTGCAAGACTTCTTTCTTTTCCTTCAAGGTGTTCCTTAGAGTCGTTCTCAAGGTTTCGTTTTCTTCGAGCTGCAGTGCCAGCCTGCAATGGGCAAGAAAATATGCGCTTATTTACTGGTCTGGAACAAGGAGTGTGCGTAAGCAAGCATAGGGCGGCCGTCTGTCTGCTTTAAAGTTGGACAGTCTGCTATTGGAAACCCACATCCAACCTGCTGGCATCTGTCTTTTCTCATCCTTTTTGGTTCTTCTTCTAATGGTATATGAAAAATAAATAGTTCAATTAAAATATATGCTTGAGTTGATATGAATTGTCATCATCACACACCGGATACGCCGCTCAGCGCCGCGACACGGCGCGCACATGACAGTTGAAAGTATCGCACACCAGACGCGTACATTCGCACGCTATTGAAAATGAAACTAATTAAACAGGGCTCGAAATTGCGACCATTTTTGTCACATATGCGCCCGAAATTTTATCTATGCGACCTTAAAATATATTTGGGAGCATTTCTGCGAGTGCTTAAAATTGATGTGTGCGACCAGTTTTTACTGCAAAATGTTCACCACATGCGCAGATTCGGGATACATTCACGCAGGATGCATCTCTAAGCTCTTTGTCTGCACTTGGAACGCGAAACGCAGCACTCAGGAATGGTTTAAAACAGTTGTCATGTCAACTTGCTGCAGTAAACAAATCCAAGTCCGTAATGCTTGCCCCGCCTTCGCGCTCTTCATATTGGCCCACCACTGCTCTAGCACTGAACGCGAATGATTGGTTAATATCAGCTGTCAATCACTCAGCGCCTTCTGGCTTCGGATGACAGAGAGCTACTACCGCGAAATATTGTAAAGCGCTGAAGATGAGAATGAAGATTACACTGGCAGATTTAGTTTTAGAAACCATCTAGTTACAAATAAAGACACATCTTACTAGTGATCATGTGCTGAATGTTAATCCACCACCTACACTTTTCCAAGAGTAGAGGACTTCCATTGGCTTCAAGTGCGCTATGAAATGTCTGTGGGATGGAGTTTTCAGGTAACTGTTTGCCACATCTAGCACGAGAGCTTCAGTTTAATCCTTCATATAATCGCCAGATGCTGTCCGCCGTGCAAGTGGCCGCTACATGTCAAATTTAACACCATGTACACCATCGCAAACGAGCTTGCACTGAGCAAACTAACATCGCTACTCATAAAAAGACTGGTATTGATATTAACATGACGTATGCATATAATAAGGTACAGTATGTGTCAAAAGCATCAGTGCAATATCAGACAGCACTTGTGAGAACAGCACAGTTATACCGCTAATAGATTCATGTCAAGCAGTGCCTGCAGGGCCGGTGAGCACTCTGTGTATCTTTTGGTCACTCAGTTATGATATAAAAATGTATTTTCTTGTGATAACGGGATTTCGTTGAGACATATTTTCCTCACGCTTGCATATATATATATATATATATATATATATATATATATATATATATATATATATATATATATATATATATATTTTTTTTTTTTTTTTTTTTTTTTTTTTTTTTTTTTGCTTGTTAGTTTGATTAGTGTTGATTTCAAATGCTATAAATATGTTGGTATAAAACTTGTAGTAACGGTGCTCATAATTGATGGGTGCGACTAAATTTTGGCTGATGCGCCTACATTTTTAAAGTTAGGAGCACCGGTGCTACCAACCAAAAAGGTTAATTTCGAGCCCTGTTAAACTATTGGTTATTCTTCCGACAGACACACTCATGTTGTCATCTGATTCTGTGTGGGATTAAATTATACCATTAAAAGATTTCTTTGAGGGACAGCTACTGATTCCCAAAATGTTCTGTTTGATGCATAATTCTTGGTCACAGTGATTTTTTGTGTGCTAAAAAGAGATTAAATGTGGAAGATACAATTAAAAACAAACACCTTACTGTGCTTTGAGTTCACTAAGCTGAGCGTCACGGCTAATATCAGAGGGGCTTCTGGGAGACAATCCCTCCAGTCTCTCCGGGAGACTCAGAATACTGCCTGAGCTTCCTGCAGTCATACAAGAGAATACAACGGATTGAGCTTTTTTTAATCAAATATTTGCAATAAACTTGATGAAAATGGCAAAAAGCAACAGACTGGTTTCAGTCTATACAGAACCCGTTCTGCTGCGATGAGATGTTTGCAGGCTTGCTTCTTTTTTGGCGTCCAGTTTGGCTTTCTCCAGCTGCTGCTCCAGTGAGACTGAACGCTGCCATTCCTGACGCAGTTTCTGCTCCGCTTCTGCACACTGACGCTTGGCCTCCTCTTCCCTGCAGAAAATAAATTAGGACCATTAAAGGAGACCTATTATGCCACTTTCAACAAGATGTCAAAAAGTCTCTGATGTGCCAAGAGTGTGTGTGTGTGTGTGAACTTTCAGCTTAAAATACACCACAGATGATGTTTTAAAACTCTCTGAAACCGACCGTTTTAGGCTTTGATCCTAATTGGGCCGTTTTGGTGACTGTCGCTTTAAATTTAAATGAGATTGTGCTCTTTTCAAAAGAGGGCGGAGCTACAAACGGCCTATGTGTCAGCATAACAGCAGATTCAAAACAGGGCTAACGCTATCTCTGTGAAAAGCTGAAGATGTCAAAAGAAAGCAATCTATGGAGACCAGGGCCGGACTGGCCATAGGGGGCCCTTCACTTACCAATTGCCACCATCCCCCACCCCCCTCTTCATAAATCCACAGGTCACCCCACCAACCCCTTTACCTTACCCCCTTCACTTAACGATTGCCACCTACACCTCCCTCCTTCACCTACTGATCACCTTCTACACTCTCTTCAATTAGCGATCGCCCCCCTACACCCCCCCTTCACTTACCGATTGCCCCCTCCTTCACTTACCGAACACCTCCTGCCCCTCTTCACTTACCGATCGTCACCCTTCACTTACCGGTCGCCCCTTCCACCTCCCCTCTTCACGTACCGATTGCCCCCTACACCCTCCCTCTTCACTTACCAATGCCCCCCTTCACTTACCAATCGCCCCTTCCACCTCCCCCCTTTACTTATCGATCGCCCCCTACACCTCCCCTTCACTTACGGATCACCCTCTGCACCCCCCCCTTCTCTTACCGAATGCCCCCTCCTTTACTTACCGAACACCCAATTCACCTTCCCCTCTTCACTTACCGATTGCCCCCAACACCCCCCCCTTCATTTACCGATTGCCCCCTCCTTCACTTACCGAACATCCCCTACACCTCCCCCTCTTCACTTACCAATTGCCCCCTTCACTTACCGATCGCACCCTACACCTGCCCACTTTACTTACCAATCACCCCTACACCTCCACCCCTTCACTTACTGATCACCCCTTCCACCTCCTCCCTTCACGTACCGATTGCCCCCTACACCCCCACCCCGTCTTCACTTCCCGATCACCCACCCCATCACTTATCGATCACCACCTACACCCCCCTCTTCACTTACGGATTGCCTACCCCTTCACTTATCGATCGCCCCCTACACCCCTCCTTCACTTAATGATTGCCCCCTACACCCCCCTTTACTTATCTATTGTCCCCCTTCACTTACCGATCGCCTCCTACACCCCCCCTTTACTTACCAATCTCCCCACACACACACCTCCCCCCTTCACTTATCGATCGCCCTCTACACCTCTCCCCTTTCACTTATCAATTGCCCCCCCCCCCTCCCCTTCACTTATGGATTGCACACTACACCCCCTCCCTTAACTTAGCAATCGCCCCCTACACCACCCCCCTTCACTTACCGATCCCCCTACACCCCCCTTCACTTACAAATTGCCCCCCCTTCACTTACCAATCACCCACTACACCTCTCCCCCTTGCCATTTATCGACTGCCCCCCTTCACCTACCAGTTGCCCCCTACACTTCCCCACCCCCAGCTCTTTACTTACAGATCGTCATTCAGTTTAGGTGGCCTGAGGTATAAAATCTTCCCCGGTCAAAAACACTGTCCCACTCGCCACTGATGAAGAGTACTGTTCATTTGTGCATCCTACAACTCCACATTAAAAATGCCGAACGGCTGCTTCTCACTTAGGACTGTCTATGCTAATGAGGGAGAGATGGTCACTAGTGGGCGGGACTTTCCCCCTCTGATGACATCATACAAAGGGAGAATGTCAATCAAAGTGTTTCTGCAGACTGTTTTAATCAAGTATGATTATAAACAATAGAATTAACAAATTTTTACCATTAGAGGTTGCTTATATTCACACACTGCTGACACACAACTGTGTGTAAACCCCTTATAAAAGTGTTTTTTGCATAATAGGTCCCCTTTATATCATTTAAATCAGTCTGCTTCATTACTTGCTCTAAATTCATGATTGTGATATGAATAATCCAATCAAATGTAATGGTGAATTTGAACAAAATTACAAGGGAGAATATACAACTTAAAGGATTGTTCAATGCCTTTATAAATGATAGAACACAGATGAAGATGTTGTGTAGAGAGGGATTATTAATTGTCTCCTACCTGGCGTGCTGCACTTTGGTCAGCTCCAGCAGTCTGTCTCTCTCCACACTTGCGCTTTGGTAAAGGGTTTTATACTCTGCACACTGCGCCTGGAGCGAGGGGACTTTAACAGCACACTCTGGACAGGCCACTAGTGCATCTCTGAAATAATATGCAACTCTTTCACTCATGTTGCTGTATTAGACAGCAGGGCATAATGCAGGCTGTGTCTGAAATTCAGTGCAGTGTGGAAGCTTGCTTTTTCCAGGGAAGTAAAAATGGGGTAATTAAAAACTTTTTTTTTCTTACACAGTTCAACTTTTCTGAGACTTTATTTCTCAGTATTGCGAGTTATAAACTTATATTTATGTCAGATGTATATCACAATTCATATATTTGTTCTCTGGATTTTGAGTTACATATTGTAATTCTGTATTTGATTTTAACTAGGGGTGTCACGATTTCGATTTTTAATGGAAATCGATAGAAATTTATGCTCAATTTCGATTATCGAATCAAAAAATAGAATGGTCGATGCTGCCACGCCCCCATGTCACATCAGCTTGGCTTGCCAAGCAGGAAAAAGCAGGCTTGTTGAAGTGCTTGTTGAACTGCAGAAGCAGGAGACCCGTCGACAGAGCTTAAACCCTCTCCTCTTTCAATGAAGTCGCCGGTGTGGAAGCATTTTGGATTTCCAGTGAGTTATGTTGACAACGTTCGTGTTGTCGACAAAAAAACACAGTTTTGCAAGCTCTGCTATGTACGTATTACGTACGGTTCGTCCGATAGACAACACCGGCATCGCGATCCTCCGCCCGCCCCCGTTGCAAATCCGCTCGCGAAAAGTACACACTCAGGCCCTGTTTACACTGTCTTTGTTTTTAAATGGCATTTTAGAACAACAACGATTTGACATCCACAGTGGCGTGTAGCATTTCTGAGCAGCCCTCCTTCCTCTCTACCTCTGAAAATGCACATCACGTGACCACACACACACAGACGCACACACAGCCATGCGCTCCAGACAGCAGGTCCAGGCAGTCAGAGGACTGCTTCAATCTTTCACTCACTTGTACTTAGTCATTTTAGCGAACACCTCAGATACTGTTGGCTGGTTCCTGTTGGTTGTGCGTCTTTTTTTACCGACGCCATTATAACGACACAGATCACAGATTCACGAGTCCCGCAGAAAAAGTGATTGACAGGTGGTAATTATGTGTGTATCTTGCCTTTATTCATTTACTGTATGATTTGTTTATGGGTAAAACAAAGACCGTGCAGGTCAGGTAGTTTAAACGGTAGGCTACAAATAATTAATTGGTCATTAATTAATTAATTATTCATAATCGAAAATCGTATCGAATCGTGTCTTCAGAATCGAAAATGTAATCGAATCGAGGATTTGGAGGATCGTGACACCCTTAATTTTAACACAGACAATTAGAGCGATATATTTTCACAATTGTGAGTTTATATTTTGCAGGTTTTATCCTCTAACAACATTATTTCGCTCTACAAGGAGCTCTACCAATTCCTGTAGTCTATAAAGATTATGATGTTCATTTGTGCATCCTGAAACTCCACATTTACAATGCCTCTTAGTCACTGACAATATCTTCAGCAGCTCAAACACTCTAATAGCTAATGGACTGCTGCTTCTCACTCAGGGCTGCTGTTTATGCTAATGAGGGAGAGATGGTCACTAGTGGGCGGGGCTTTTCCTCTCTGATGACACGTATAAAGTGAGAATGTCAATCAAAGTGTTTCTGCAGGCTGTTTTAATCAAGTCTGATTATAAAAAATAAAATAAATATATTTTTATCATCAGACGCTGCTTATATTCACACACTGCTGCCACACAGCTGTCTTTAAACCCCTTATAAAAGTGATTTTTGCATAATAGGTCCCCTTTAATACCTGGCAGGGTTTGCTTCTCTACTCTTCTCCTGTTGTGATGTCAAAGACCTGCTGTTTTGTAGACTCTTGCTCTCTGATTGCTTCTGCAACACACACACACACACACACACATACACATGCATAAGCTTGAGACAGGGTTAATACAAATTTTTACCACTAAAATTTCAGGACTTCTCCAGGTTTACAGGTAAATATTTATGACCTAATGTTTTATATAATGTCTACGTACATGTGATAAATAAAACAATGCACATTGCACACAAAAAGCAAATTTATTATGAACCCATATTAAAAAATATGACAATCAATGCAGTTTATTTTTATATCTGTAAAATAGTAGAAAGTATCTTACTGTCTGTGTGGAAATTTTAGAAATGTTAGGTTGTGATTTTCACAAGACTTATAAGAATTGTACCAGTTAGCCTTTAGTAGTGATGTGTGATACCACTGGTTTCCTATCCGATCTGATACCAAGTAAAATGAAGGCGAGTATCGACGACACCGATCCGATATCGATACTTTGCTTAAAATTACTGTTTGAGAAATTAAAGTAACAAGTAGTGTACTTAAAAGTGTCACTTTATACTGAATACGAGACATATTACGCAGCCTGATCTCACGAGGAAACGTTTAACAAGAAAAAAGATTCATCCTAAAACACGAAATGTTATAGAAAGCAAAAATGTTACTTTCTCAAGCATCAACATATTGTTACAACACCTACTAATAATATAGTTTTTGATTGTATTTCTTGAAAAGTAATGCTTCAGTGAAAGATCTGCCAGATACAAGCTTATAATTCCAAGTGGAAAATGACTTTTCAGAATCAGAAGGTTCTCTCTGCATTTACCGTAATTCATTTACTCCAATTTGCAAATGTAAGAGAACTTTGATCATTTAGAGTACCCTTATGCCTAGTTCAGACTGCGTGATTTTAGCCCCGATTTTGGCTCGCCGACAGGTTTTGAGAAATCGCCAACAAATGCCTGAAATCACAAACAAATCGCTGCTCGTGCACGTGAGTGACAATCACACAGTATGAACGATCAAAGACGCGATCTGAGAGAATCGCAGATGAGTCGCCGATGCCTGCGAGATATTTGGCGTGCTAAATATCTGGAGCTGTCGGCGATTCAAATCATGCCATGTAAAATGAGTTTTGACTGAAAATAACATCGGCGATCGCCTACAGCCAATAAAAGAGCAGCTTTCACTTGTGTGTGCGTGTGTGTATACCTGCTGCAGGCCAGCGGGAGGCTGGGGGAGAAGTTAAAAGCGCTCATTTTCGGTTTATTTTGGACCCACGAAATGAAGGGAAAACTAGTGGAGGTTTGACAGGACTCAGGAGCACCCGTGTCTGTTTGATATTTCATACAGAAATAAATTAGTTTATTATCAACGTTGAGGAGTAATGGCTCATTCCCTTTAAACCCAGGTGAGCAAACATGTACATGTTCTACCCCATTAAAGGCTTCTTTCTCATTATGTAGTTAATAACAAAAGATATACTACATGTTTTTGGCTGTGAGACGTAGTTTGGACAAAGTTGTCGGCGATTCTCCCTATAGTAAAGTCATGCAATGTGAATGTCCATGTCGCCGAACCATCTTGCAGTGTAAACAAAGCAGCGACGAAACGCTAGCGCAGATAGTCCTGCAGTGTGAAAACTATCAGTGTGACTACTTTGAAAATCATGCAGTCTGAACTCGGCATCAGGGTCTCTGTCATGTTAATGTATGAAAGAGAACTGTTACACACATATTGTTTGCTATATGGAATGCAAAAACTTTGAAGCTCAATATCTCAAAATCATTTAGAACGCAGACAGAACCTAATAAATCTAAGGTGTTGATTTGCTAAACAAATTTCGGTAACACTTTAGAATAACGGTTCATTAGTTAAATGGAGTTAACTTGTTAACAAAGGTTAGGTGGTGAAACCACGCCTCACTTTGTCTCCATAACCAATCACCAACTCCCTAAAACTTACTTAAGGCAGACCAGCCCTCTAGCACTGTTCTTCTCGTTCTTTCGAAGACACCCTCTCTTCCTTTATTTCCTCGCTTCCCATTCTCTTCACTTCTAGGTTGAATTGTGGGGGGGTCCAATCACTCTACCAAAATATTACAGAGCTACCCCACTTTGAGTCTCCGGATCATCATCGTAGGATGCCCGATCAACCACCTTACCTGCTTACTGTTTATCCTCTTACTTCCCTTCCCCTTCATCCCACTGTTCTCTTACCATCCCCTTCATCCCTACAATGAAGTCTAGCTCAAAGTGTGGTGTGGTCCATGCCAATTTACTAACATTAACTAAGCATTAATAATCTTGAAAAGCATTTATTAATCATATTTCACCATTTACTAATGCATTATTAAAATCTAAAGTTGTGCTTGTTCACATTAGTTAATGCACTATGAGTTAACAAGACTGTTAACTTAAATAACATTAACTACCATTAACGAAGATCAATAAATACAGTAATAAATGTATTTCAGTACTAATTGTTTGTTCATGATAGTGAATACATTAACTAACATTAACTAGTGGAACATTTTTTTTTTTATGTAAGCCAAATTTCCACGACTTTCCAAAATATTTCGGGTTTATTTGTTTTTCCAGGTCTGGAAGTCATTCCCTGACTTCACCAGGTTTTCCAGGACCGTATGAACGCTGTTGAGAACGATGATGTGATGGGATGTGTGGTACCGTGAGGGCGAGCTGCCGGATCTCCTGCTCCAGCTCTTTGACCTTGTTCTCCTTCTCTGCCACCATGAGTTTGAGCTGCTGGATGAGGGACGAGTGCTGCTGGACCTCGCTGTGCAGATGAGTCTCCAGGCCCTGCTGACTCTCCTCACGCTGAGACCCTTTCAGACTCAACCGACCCAGCATGACCTGCCACTGCGTCTGCTGCTTCTGATCAGGACACAGACACCAAGCAGCCTTCATTACACACTCTCCAAACCACTTCCCGCTGCAGAATTAGTTACTTCTTTCAGCTTATTATACTCATCTGTGCCTATTATTCATGGTATATTTCAAATTTACAGTGTAGTACTATTTAGAACAGTGCCTGTTCAATAGTAGTGCTTTAAATGGTTACACGGATATTGTAAACCTCTCAATTCATTGTTTCTAATGCATGTGCAATTGTCTTAATTAATGTAAGCTTTGGTTGAAATATCTAATTCCAATTACAGTAACTAGTTAATTTGTACTCATTACACCCAACACTGGTATATATACTGTATATACACTCACCGGCCACTTTATTAGGTACACCCGTCCAACTGCTCGTTAATGCAAATTTCTAATCAGTCAATGACATGGCAGCAACTCAGTGCATTCAGGCATGTAAGCATGGTCAAAAGAATCTGCTGCATGTCAAAGCGACCATCAGAATGAGGAAGAAAGGGGATTTAAGTGACTTTGAATGTGGCATGGTTGTTGGTGCCAGGCGGGCTGGTTTGAGTATTTCTGAAACTGCTGATCTACTGGGATTTTCACGCACAACCATCTCTAGTGTTTACAGAGAATGTTCTGAAAAAGAGAAAGTTCTATGGGCGCAAATGCCAACCGGATACTAGCAAGGTGTACCAAATAAAGTGGCCAGTAAGTGTATAATATATATACATAAAGAATAAAAATTTCACAGGAGGGCAAATAATTTGACTTCAACTGTGTACTTCAGTATTTTGAATCATAATTGAAGAATCTCTCACCAGTAAGGCATCGACCAGCTCATCATCGTGTTTGCCTTTATCCAGTAGAGTGCCGATCTGACTCTTCAGGGCTTTGATTTCTGTGCTCAGCACTTTATTCCTGGCTTTGGAGCCCTCCAGCTTCTTCTTCACGTCCGTGTGCTCTTCAAGCAGAACTTCATACTCCACAGTGAGCTTCTGCAAAGATATTATTATCAGATTATTAAGACATTTCATCGTGGCATATTAAGATTAAGTATTATGGGTGTGCAAAACCTCCAGCGTCTCCTTCTTCTCCTTCTCTATGTGCCGGATGTGGCTCAGATTTCTGTCTTGTGTCTTCATTGGACCTCCAGTTCTCATCATCTCATCCTCAAGACCAAACTCATTCAGCGGTTTTCTGTGAGACGATTGGCTCAGCTGCTGTTCCAGGTCTCGCACCTTCAGTGTTTAAAGAAAAGTTTAGTAGCATTAAAAGTGACATATGAACACCATAGGGCTTTTCATACTCTAAAAAGTTCACTTTAACCAGTGTTAGGAATGATAGGTGTCCTAGGTAAGAGTTGAAAGATTAAAGATATTTAGCTGAATATAGGGTTTGCACTTTTATCAAGGTTTGGTTAGTTCCCCATACGTGCAGCCATATAGAGAAATCATATAGAGAATGACTTAGTAAGCACGAAAGCATGCAAGATTTTGACAATATGAATATAATAGGGGGTAAAAGATACATGTTAGCAGCATCGTTTAAGGTATTATCCTAATATTTCCCCTACTTGGCTGGAAAAATAAAAAACTAACGTGCTGGAAACGCTGCCTCAGTTCGTCAGACAGTTTTTAGTCAGTCTACAGTACTCTAAATGTTGTTGTTTTCTCATTTAACCAATTAATACAGCCCAAAACATGATTTTTATCAGCAATATGCAAGTTTAATTTAGTTTGGTGGCCTTGTTTACGTTCTGAGCCTCTGATGATGCATTGATGAACATTCTATTGTGGTCCTTGGTGATTCATATAATGAAAGTCAACTATTACCATCCCTATATGAGCATATCAGTAAAAAGCATATGTTTTCACTGATGGAAAAAAGGGATGCACACACAACAGATAAATCCAAAAAGTACTTTAATATTTTTTATTTAATAGTATATAAAAAGTTCACAATGTAATCCAGAGGTCGTACAGAAATATCACTCACGAGACTCACTACCTCGAAAATAATTATCAAAAACAAACTAATTTCTCACAAAAGTTTGAAGTCTACAGCAGAAAGCATAAGGAATACCAAGATTGGGTCGTAGCAATGAAAACCTATGGAAGGCAAACATGCAACCATTCGCAAAAAAAAAAAAAAAAAAAAAAAAGTATAACAGCGGATGCTAATGCGGCCTCTATGTTGGTACACAGGGAAGGAAATGCAGTAAATGAGGCACAGGTAAAAAAAAAATGTTTTACACACAGTAATAATAAAGGCAAAAAAATCTAAAAATAAAAATAAACAGTGACCTCTAGTGGCCATAATATAAGTCTATAACTGTGACTCTGCAGCCTTCATCAACCTTTTCACATAAACCATGAGGAACAATACTTTAATTTACTTAATAATTTACTTAATAAACTTTAATTTCTCCTCCTGGTTCCTCAGTTCAGACACTGAAGGAACTGAAGCGCTGGATGAGTTTGTAAAACAACTGCATTATTGGATCACATACAGTTTCACATTATGTTGCTATATGTTGAGTTGGAGACTGAGAAACCTCAATGTGTCTAGTTTTGCATTTCCTGATATTTGGTTTGTTTGTTTGTTTGTTTGTTTGTTTGTTTGTTTGTTTGTTTGTTTGTTTGTTTGTTTGTTTGTTTGTTTTACTTTCATAGCAAAAATGACCATGGTCTAAGCTTAAAATTCTATTTTATAAAGAAAAAAAAACACATTGTTATTATTTAATCATCGGATTCTTGACTGAAATATTCCTTTTTGCTTTAAACTATTATTTAATTTAAGATGTTTTCTTTAAAAAAATCCATTGAGAAAAAGATTATAAAAAGAACCAGGCGTCTTTTTAATTTGAATTTTCATTATTATAAAACTCAACTCAACTAGTAGGAAATAAAATAAAATAATACAATGCAATGGAAGTTCAACAATGATAGCCAAAAGTCAGCAAAAAATATATATATATATATATAAACAACCCAGGCTCATTGAAAATATGTTCCCAGGGCTACATTTTTAAGAAACCAAGACAAATATACCCTGAACTATGTTTTCTTGCAGTTTCTGTTTATACAAATTCACTAGAGGGCGGCATGTACATTTATGACAATCTGAAATACGTTACTGAGGCATGTTTTTCTCATCCGTGCCATTTCTAGTAAATCAACCAGAGGTCGCTGCGTACATTTCTGGCTGTCTCAACGTCATGCAGTATGTCAGCTTGATATCGATTGAACCACACACACCCTTCCCTAAAGCCAAATGATAGTGTTTTCAAAAGCAAATTAGAACCCTGCTGAAAAATCCAGCTTAAACCAACCTAGGCTGGTTGGCTGGTTTTAGCTGGTTGACCAGCCTGGTTTTAGAGGGGTTTTGGCCATTTCCAGGCTGGTTTCCATCTATTTCCAGCCTGGTCTTAGCTGGTCAGGCTTGACAATGACCAGCTAAATCCAGCTAAAGCCAGCTTGACCAGCCTGGTTTAAGCTGGATATAGCTGGTTTTAGCTGGACATCTCCCAGCCTGACAGGCTGTAAATGGCTGGAAATCAGCCTGGAAATGGCCAAAACCCCTCTAAAACCAGCCTGGTCGACCAGCTAAAACCAGCCCACCAGCCTAGGCTTCAAGCTGGATTTTTCAGTTGGGAAGAGAAAAGCTATGGTGGACGCTTGCTTCTATCACACTGCTCTTTGTTTTGGGTTTTGTTTTACCTGGTTTTTGGAACTGTCCTTAATTTGTGTTGAGCTACCAAGCAAACCAGTCATACAGGAAACATCGCCCATACAGAGGTAAACAGTGAGCGGAACTACCCGGTAGCCCTGTTCGGTTTACACACGAAATGCAGCCCATATTTCTCGGTTCTTAGAATTGTATCCCTGGGAACATTTTCCTGATTGTGTTGCTATAAAGCATGTTCAAAAGCAAGAGGAAAAAGATGTGCTTTTAAAACATCTTTTCTTATTTTTTGGGGAAAATGTGAACAGTCATTTAAAATAATGAAAAAGCACACTAGTTAACTAAAGCTGAACACTCAGCGGACACTCACTCGGTTCTGCAGGGCGAGGATCTGCTGCGATCGCCCTCTCCAGCCTCCTGGGTTACACAGAATCTGCTGAATACTGACGTCCTCACCGACCTCGCAGCTCAACACCTGGAAAACACGTTAAAATGATGCCTACTATAGCACTATATACTATACAGCTCAATAACACATGAAAAGATCTGTTGAGAACAAATTAAGGCTGCACAATATATCGCAATATTATTGTTATCACGATAATAGTATATGCAAAATATTGCAGACGTGCGATACATTATATTTACTTTATGCATTGGTTGTTAAAATTTAAATTTAAAATCAAAAATCTAAATTTGACCAATCAGATGGGGCCTTGCTATCTTTATCTCCGCCTCCCCAGTAGCTGCTGCTCTGCTGTTGGCTGGAGCGACACAAAGCTGAACCCAGAGCTGAAAATAAACACTAATGGGTGGAGTCGAGATGAGCGAGAAAAATGACAACAGCCAATCAGAGTCCGAGTACCTGAGGTTTTCACTTTTTCATAGTGTTTTAAAGGCTAAATATTTGCACTTTGACAAAATTAACGAATTATTTAGACCTGAAGGATTTATTTTACCCGTTTATTTAAATATCATTAAATAAATAAATGATTTAAAAACATAGCTAATAAAAAATGTATTTCTAGGGAAATGTTATATCATAAGAAATATCGTTATTGCTATACTCAACAACAATATTGCGTATTTGTCCAGTATCGTGCAGCCCTAGAACAAACCTTGTGAGCAATTTTTAATTCTTGTTTGAATGTCTGGATCTGGTTGCGGTATTCAGCCATTTTGAGCTGGGCTACAGATAGTTTCTCCTGTAGTGATTTGACTACTGGGTTGTTCTGCACAACAACAAAAAACATTGAACACTGTTATTTAAATAACTAATCTTGGTCACACACTACCTGACAAAAAGTCTTGTGCCCTATCCAAGTTTTAGGAAGAACAAATAATAATTTGACTTCTAGTTGATCATTTGGTATCAGAAGTGGCTCATATGATAGGCCAAAGATTATCCCTCTAGATGACCCTTATTTGAGCACAATAAAATATGATCATGCTTGATTTTGACTGATTTCATTAGGACAGTAAGGTCTGACTTTATTTAGACTAAAGTCTCATCACTGAACAGAAATAATGTCCAGTATAGAATATAAAGTCCTGCTGCAGTGGAGACAGAATGAATATTGTGTCTGACTCCATCATGAGCTTGGAGGACTGCATCCATACATCTCTGACATGACTCACATCACTGATTAATAAAGTCATCTGGAATGGCAGAGAAAGCGTTCCTGCAGGACTCCCAGAGTTCATCAAGATTCTTTGGATTCATCTTCAACGCCTCCTCCTTCATCTTACCCCAGACATGCTCAATAATGTTCATGTCTGGTGACTGGGCTGGCCAATCCTGGAGCAGCTTGACCTTCTTTGCTTTCAGGAGCTTTGATGTGGAGGCAGAAGTATGAGAAGGAGCGCTATCCTGCTGGAGAATTGTCCCTCTCCTGTGGTTTGTAATGTAATGGGCAGCACAAATGTCTTGATACCTCAGGCTGTTGATGTTGATCATCCACTCTGCAGATCTCTCGCACGCCCCCATACTGAATGTAACCCCAAACCATGATTTTTCCTACACCAAACTTGACTGATTTCAGTGAGAATCTTGGCTCCATGCTGGTTCAAGAAGTTCTTCTGCAGTATCTGTAACGCAGCTTAACAGATGATTCATCAGAGAAATCCATACTGCAAAAAATGGTTTTCTTGCTTAGATTTTTTGTCTTTTTTCTAGTCTAAATATCTAAAATTTCTTATATCAAGAGGTAATTTCTAGACAAGCAAAACATATTTTCTTGTCGAGAAAATTCTTCTTGATTTAGGAATTTTCAGATATTTGCTCTAGAAACAAGACAAAAAATCTAAGTAAGAAAAGCATTTTTTGCAGTGCACCTTCTGACACTTTTCCAAATGATCAACTAGAAGTCGAGTTATTATTTGTTGCACGTACAACTGAGATCGATGACAAGACTTTTGTCAGGTAGTGTGTCTAATCATGCCTCAAATGATAATGAACATAATGCATATTACTTCAGGATGGTCATCCACAATCTTTGAAGCTTGCTTCTTGTTTGTCGTCTTTCCGGGATTTAGTAACAACATGGCCTGAAGCTAACAACACAGAAATATACTAATGAAACTATAAGTAAAGTCACAGATAAAAACAAGTTCTGTTCTTCTTCACCTCTTTCTCCAGTTCTCGAACTCGATTGTTGGCTTGTTTGGTTTTGGTTTTCTCTCGTTCTACTTCAGAAGCTAAATCTCGAGTCTTTTTTGACAGCTCCACAATTTTGGTTGCAGCCGCATCTCCTGCCAGACCAGCAGTACCTTAGCGGAAAAATAAAGATGAAGTGTCAGACTTATTATATACCAGATACTCGGTGGCCCAGAATTAATGTTTGAGTGGCACTGCATTGCATTAGCCTGACATGACAAGCAACATTTAAAGTTTGGGTAAACTGGAAATAAAGAGAGAAATAAAAATACAGAAAGGCATCTTAGCATGTTGATTAACCAGTTGCTGCCATGTTTATGAATTAACCTGTTGCTAACATAAATTTGGACGCTGTGGGCACAGATCTAGCATGTTTAGCACATTGTTAGCTGTGAATTGCTAGCATGTTTCTTGTGCTAAAATGTAAAACTGTAATCAGACTTGTCGGTTATTTATAATTCTGTATATTTATGACACTGCTACGATAAATTAGCATCTTGTAAGCATATTTCTAACAAATTTGACAAACTGCTAGCATGTTTCTAGCATGACTTTCTTGTGCTAAAATGTAAAACTGTAATCAAACTTGTCAGTAAAGACAAATAAAGACATATTAAGACATTTATAATCTTGTGTGTTTATGTTTATGACAGTGTTATGATAAATTAGCACGTTGTGAGCATAGATCTAGCATGTTTAGCACATTGTTAGCTATGAATTGCTAGCATGTTTCTTGTCTTAAAATGTAAAACTGCAATCAAACTTGTCAGTTAAGACAAATAAAGATAATTAAGACATTTACATTTTTGTATGTTTATGACACTGCTACGATAAATTAGCATGTTGTAAGCATAGATCTAGCATGTTTAGCACATTGTTAGCTATGAATTGCTAGCATGTTTCTTGTGCTTAAACGTAAAATTGTAATCAAACTTGACGATTTAAGACATTTATAATTTTGTGTTTATGTTTATGACACTGTTATGATAAATTAGCATGTTGTGAGCATATTTATCAAATTGCTAGCATGTTTCTAGCATGACTTTCTTGTGCTAAAATGTAAATTTGTAATCAAACTTATCGGTTAAGACAAATAAAGATATATTAAGACATTTTTAATATTGTATTTTTATGTTTATGACACTGCTATGATAAATTAGCATATTGGAGCATATTTCTGGCATATTTGGTGAATTGCTAGCATGAACTAGCACATTTATAATATGCTATGTTTTAACATGTTACTTAACATGTTGCTGCCATAAATGCAACGCATGTTGTGAGCATACAGTATTTCTAGCATATTTATCAAATTGCTAGCATGTTTCTAGCATGACTTTCTTATGCTAAAATGTAAAACTGTAATCAAACTTGTCAGTAAAGACAAATAAAGACATATTGACATTTCTAATTTTGTATGTTTATGACACTGCTACGATAAATCAGCATGTTGTAAGCATAGATCTAGCATGTTTACCACATTGTTAGCTATGAATTGCTAGCATGTTTCTTGTGCTTAAACGTAAAATTGTAATCAAACTTGTCGATTTAAGACATTTATAATTTTGTGTTTATGTTTATGATACTGTTATGATAAATTAGCATGTTGTGAGCATATTGATAGCATATTTATCAAATTGCTAGCATGTTTGTAGCATGACTTTCTTGTGCTAAAATGTAAATTTGTAATCAAACTTATCGGTTAAGACAAATAAAGATATATTAAGACATTTTTAATATTGTATTTTTATGTTTATGACACTGCTATGATAAATTAGCATATTGGAGCATATTTCTGGCATATTTGGTGAATTGCTAGCATGAACTAGCACATTTATAATATGCAATGTTTTAACATGTTGCTTAACATGTTGCTGCCATAAATGCAACGCATGTTGTGAGCATACAGTATTTCTAGCATATTTATCAAATTGCTAGCATGTTTGTAGCATGACTTTCTTGTGCTAAAATGTAAATTTGTAATCAAACTTATCGGTTAAGACAAATAAAGATATATTAAGACATTTTTAATATTGTATGTTTATGTTCATAACACTGCTATGATAAATTAGCATGTTTGAGCATATTTCTGACATATTTGGTGAATTGCTAGCATAAATTAGCCCATTTATAATATGCAATGTTTTAACATGTTGTTTAACATGTTGCTGCCATAAATGCAACGCATGTTGTGAGCAAACAGTATTTCTAGCATATTTATCAAATTGCTAGCATGTTTCTAGCATGACTTTCTTATGCTAAAATGTAAAACTGTAATCAAACTTGTTGGTTAAGACAAATAAAGATATATTGACATTTTTAATTTTGTATGTTTTTGACACTGTTACAATAAATTAGCATGTTATAAGCCTATTTTTGGCATAGTGAATTAGCACATTGTTAGTAAAGAATTGGCAAGTTACTAATAAAAGTTGTCATATTATAAGCAAGTTGTTACTATAAAAATATTAATTTCTTAAAAATATATATACTGCATATTAGCACAAGAAACTCCACACAGATATGCCAACTGGTCTAGATGGGATTCGAACCAGCCAACTTCTTTCTGTGAGGCGACAGTGCTAACCACTGAGCCACCTTGTCGCCCCTTAACGTATTTAATGTACCTGCTAGAGCCAACCTGTCCTCTTCTCTCTTCTTCTTCAGGTGTTTTATCTCAAAGTCTTTCTCACTCAGCAGTTTATGAAGTCTGCCGTTCTCATCTCTCAGCTCCCGCACATGATCGAGCAGCTGCTCATTCTCATTCTGGATCATTCTGAATTAGGAGAGTTTTATTAACACATGCATATGTCATAACCACAAACACACGACAAAATCTACGCTACTCTACCACCATCCAGTGTTCCACATGAGCTTCACAAAGAGCACACTGCTGTCACTGCAAATCAGGATCACAATCCACATCCACCGCACATCAAAGACAGCTCATAATGTTGACATCGTTCAGATTGATTAGCCAGAGGAGAAATGGCTCTCTTAAAGTGTCTTTCAAGGGATCGTTCTGCTATTTTTTCTAGCTTTTCTTGCTAATGTCACCTCTGGTTTGCTTAATGGAGAGATAGACAAGCTCTGATTGGTGACTTTTCAGAAGTTATAGTATAGACCAGGGCTTCTCAACTGGTTTGGCCATGGGACCCACATTTTTACATGGTCATCAAGCCGCGACTTAAAGTTTTAGGAGCTATAATACAATTTTAGGAATTATACTTAATTTGTATTCATTTGTTAACATACATAAGTAGTGACATACATCATACGAAATTCACCAAGACTTACAAATAAACACTATTTTATTGCTGTCATTTAACAAAATTAACAAAAACGACAAATACTGTTAATAATAAACTGTTAATAAAACATGTTTTCTGGTGTCAAAATGTTGTTTTAATTTAGAAGGTTTCATGTTGTCTTATGAGAGCACCTCACATATGAAACTGAGGCTTTAAGTCTTTTTCATTCATTCATTCATTCATTCATTTTCTTGTCGGCTTAGTCCTCTTATTAATCCGGGTTGCCACAGCTGAATGAACCGCCAACTTATCCAGCAAGTTTTTACGCAGTGGATGCCCTTCCAGCCGGAACCCATCTCTGGGAAACATCCACACACACATACACTACGGACAATTTAGCCTACCCAAATCACCTGTACCGCATGTCTTTGGACTGCGGAGCACACGGAGGAAACCCACGCGAATGCAGGGAGAACATGCAAACTCCACACAGAAATGCCAACTGAGCCGAGATTGGAACCAGCGACCCAGCGACCTTCTTGCTGTGAGGCGACAGCACTACCTACTGCGCCACTGTCTCGCCCGCTTTAAGTCTTTTTTGTCGTCAATATATATATATCCATACTTTACATATTCGGAGTCGTACTTGCTCTTCGACAAATTTGTTGCAATAATTAAATGAAATTTTACATGTCAAACGGTAGGGTTGTCGCGCACGCATTTTAAAATAAAAGTCCGGTATAAGCAAAATAAGTAAAAAATTTACTTTTTTTTTTTTTTGATCACACACTCCGCGACCCACTGAAAATGTTCCTGCGATGACCCACCAGTTGAGAAACACTGGTATAGACAACCATATTGTTTTTCATATTTCACATTCCTTCATAAATCTTCTGCATATAAGTATATAAGCTTCTGCATCTTGCTTATATACACGATGAACAGCAGCTACGCTAATTATTCTCTTTATTCTCTATTTTCACCTGGGGATACTCATCCCGAGGTCCTCAGTTTATGCGGAGTCACTGATTGGATCCAAGACCAGCGACGAGATGATCCCAAGGTTTCCATATCCGGGACCAGGCCATATCCTGAGCTGCTGCTGCGCTGATGGTCGTGGGGAGTGGAGAACATGAGTCTGATTCCAGCGACGCTCCAGGGACAGACGAGTCTTCGCTAAGGCCATCTTCCAGCCTCCACCACGGTGACTGAAGCTCTGCACAAGACTTTTGACCAGCGGAGAAATTAAAATGGTCGTGCCCAACTGAGTCTGGTTCTCTCAAGGTTTTTTTTTCTTCACTCCCATCAGGTGAAGTTTTTTTTCCTCTCCGCTGTCGCCACTGGCTCGCATGGTTCAGGATTGGTAGAGCTACGCATCGATGAATTTGCTCTTCAGTGTTTGAACTCTCAGTAATGATTAAATCACACTGAACTGAGCTAAACTGAACTGAACTTAAACACTAAAAACTAAACTACACTGTTCCAGTTACTATGACCATTTATGTGAAGCTGCTTTGACACAATCTACATTGTAAAAGCGCTATACAAATAAAGCTGAATTGAATTGAATTGAATAACTTTTCCTTCGATTTAGTCCCTTTTTTCATCAGGGGTCCCCACAGCGGAATGATCCGCCAACTTATCCAGCATATGTTTTACACAGAGGATGCCCTCCCAGCTGCAACGCAGCACTGGTAAACACCCATACACACTCATTCACACACACACACACACACACACACACACACTATGGCCAATTTTGTTCATCCAATTCACCTATAGCGAATGTGTTTAGACTGTAGGAGGAAACCCACGCCAACAAGGGGAGAACATGCACAGAAGCGCCAACTGACCCAGCGACCATCCTGCTGTATGGTGAAAGTGCTAACCACTGAGCCACCGTGTAAAAGTATAAGCGGTAACACTTTACAATAAGGTTCATTAGTTAACGCATTTACTAACATGAACTAATCATGAACAACACATGTACAGCATTTATTAATCATAACTGAACATTTACTAATGCATTATTAACATTCAAGTCCATGCTTGTTAACATTAGTCAATGCATCATGAGTTAACATGAACTAACAATGAACGACTGTGTTTTCATTAACTAATGTTAACTAACATGAACAAATACAGTAGTAAATGTATTGTTCATTGTTTGTTCATCTTAGTAAATGCATTAATTAACACACACACAAAGCGTGACCGTATAAGCATTACTTACAAATGATCAGATCCCTTTTTGTACGATTTTAATCATTTACTTATGTTTCAGATACTTATGCCTGATTTGTTTTCATTTATTTCATCATTTTTTTTAGTATTTTGAAGTATTTGTTACTATTCAATGTAGTGATTCATAGTGTTACATTTCAGTATTAGAAACTAAGCTGTACCAAGATTATGTAATAATTTGTCTTCATCTAAGTTAGTGCATAGTAGCCGCATTTCCACTATCGGGTCAGTGCGAGCCAGGGCTTTAATTGGGCCGGGCCAATAGCCCGGGAGGTTGAGAAATGAGGCCGAAATCATGTCGCATTTCCACTGTCAGGCTAGTAGCTCATAAGGGCGATCATACGCAAAAAGACCCCAGACTATAAGGCCAGATGTTTTCTTTCCCTTATTTATTGATGTGTTTGGCACATGTACCCATGTGCGATTAGAAAACTGCTCGACTCTCCTTTCACTCCGCCCCAAAGCCTCAGCTGGCCCTCCTTGGCCCAAGGTATTCGGCGGGCCGAAAAAGGCCAGCCGCTGGCCCCAAGAAAGCCCCGCTTTGGCCCGATTAGGCCCCGGAAGTGACAGCGGAAACGCCACTGGCCTTGGCTCGCCCTGGCTCGCTCGCTTTAGGCGCGATAGTGGAAACGCGGCTAGTGTTTTTGTAAGCCCTGCTTACTGATGTTCATAAAAGGTTAAACATTTATGCTGCGTCAGCTTTCATTTCTCTTGTGTAAAGATGCTTTAGTCTTATTTCTATTTCTTATTTCTTAGTTCTTTTTTGCTGAATTTGTAGAAGCAATAAGGTGAAGTCACTGTTGCGTGTGTCACCTTGCATTGAACAGATCCATCACTTTATCGTCCTCTTCTGTGAAGTGGATATCGTCCAGACTGCTGCTGAGAGGAAGAGCGATGGCGTCTGTCTGTTTTTCCCCATCTGTCTTTTTCATCTCCTGCCTCCTCTGGATGCGCTGCACTTGTTGCTCTTGCAGAGTTTGAAACTGAAGCCTCAGATGCTCCTTTATTTCATCAGCGTCCCCATCCATCACTGAGAGATCAAAGAAAGATGCGTTATTGCAAACTAATGCGGTTACAGATGAGAGATGTGCAGATATACTTCAGAGAACATATTACACCCGCTTCAGCTCATTTGCATTGCTTTCCTGTCACAGGAGTGGATTTTAAAACACTGAACGGCTTTACTTAGTCACTTATATCCAATACAATTATTGTTTATTATTGTATTATTATTTTGTTTAAAATATATGTGAATTCTAATTTATAAGTAAATATTATTGTGTTTTTGAACCATACTATAGTAAAGTGTATTATACAGTATTTATTATAGTATTTACATCTCTTTGTTAATGAATTACTGTAGTATACATTTTAGTACAGTAAACTGTGGTATATTGTAGTATAATATAAAGGAAACTGTTTATTTTACTTGTTGTTTTACTATAGACACTATAGTATTACCACAACAGCTTCACTTTACTATGGGATGGTCAAAACACTACAGTATTTACTATCAAGTACTATAGTATTATTTTTTTCTTGTGGCCTGTATTACGCTTTTTTAGAAAACAAAATACACATTTAAAAAATACTATAATAATTTATAGTAAATATTATTGTGTTTTTGAACCATACTATAGTAAAGTGTATTATACAGTATTTATTATAGTATTTACATCTCTTTGTTGATGAATTACGGTAGTATACATTTTAGTACAGTAAACTGTGGTATATTGTAGTATATTATATAGGAAACTGTTTATTTTACTTGTTGTTTTACTATAGACACTATAGTATTACCACAACAGCTTCACTTTACTATGGGATGGTCAAAACACTACAGTATTTACTATCAAGTACTATAGTATTATTTTTTTCTTGTGGCCTGTATTACGCTTTTTTTAGAAAACAAAATACACATTTAAAAAATACTATAATAATTTGTAGTAAATATTATTGTGTTTTTGAACCATACTATAGTAAAGTGTATTATATAGCATATATTATAGATTTTACAACTTGTTGTTAATGAATTACTGTAGTATATCTAAGTTTTAAGTACAGTAAACTGTGGTGCAATGCTGTATAATATATAGGAAGACACTAGAAATACCTCAACAGTTTCACTTTACTATGTATGTTTCAAAAACACTACAGTATTTACTATCAATTACTACAGTATTGGGCTGTTTTAAGTTGTGCAAAACAAAAAACTAATTTAAAAATACTATGATAATTTATAGTAAATATTATTGAGTTTTTAAATATACTATAGTAAAGTGTATTATACAGTATATAATATTGTGTTTACAACTTTTTGGTAATGCATTACTGTAGTATATGTTAGTTTTAGTACAGTAAACTGTGGTGTATTGTAGTTTGTTATATAGGAAACTACAGTAGTTTTTCATTTGTTTATTTTACTTGTTGTATCAGACACTTTAGTAATACCACAACAGGTTTACTTTATTGGTATGGTTTAAAAACACCACAGTATTTTACTAAAAATTACTCTAGTATTATTTTTCTTGTGGCCTGTATTACGCTTTTCAGAAAACAAAATACACATTTAAAAAATACTATGATAATTTATAGTAAATATTATTGAGTTTTTAAATATACTATAGTAAAGTGTATTATACAGTATATAATATTGTGTTTACAACTTTTTGGTAATGAATTACTGTAGTATATGTTAGTTTTAGTACAGTAAACTGTAGTGTATTGTAGTTTATTATATAGGAAACTACAGTAGTTTTTCATTTGTTTATTTTACTTGTTGTATCAGACACTTAAGTAATACCACAACAGGTTTACTTTATTGGTATGGTTCAAAAACACCACAGTATTTTACTAAAATTACTCTAGTATTATTTTTCTTGTGGCCTGTATTACGCTTTTCAGAAAACAAAATACACATTTAAAAAAAAAATATGATAATTTATAGTAAATATTATTGTGTTTTTGAACTATACTACAGTAAAATGTATTATACAGCATATATTATAGATTTTACAACTTGTTGTTAATGAATTACTGTAGTATATGTTAGTTTTCAGTACAGTACACTGTGGTGCAATTCTGTATAATATAGAGGAAACTACAGTATTTTGTCATTTGTTTATCTTACTTGTTGTATTAGACACTACTTTACTATGGTATGGTTCAAAAGCACTACAGTATTTACTATCAATTACTATAGAATCGTTTTTCACGTGGGCCATATTACACTGTGTAAAACAAAATACACATTAAAAAAAATGCTATGATCATTTTTAGTAAAACTTTTTCAACCATAATAAAAGTTTATTATGCATTATTATATTTACTCTTTGTAAATATATTACTGTAGTATACGTTTGTATTTACTACAGTAAACTAGTAAACTGTGGTGTATTGCTGTATAATACATAGGAAACTGCAGTGTTTAGTCATTTGTTTATTTTACTTATTGTATTTACGTTACCATAAACACTGTGGAATTACCACAACTGGTTCACTGTATGGTTCAAAAACACTACGGTATTTAGTATCAGTATAATTTTTTTCTTGTGATATTTTATGTAAAGTGTATTATACATTATATTGTTTACAACTCTTTGTTAATGAATTACTGTATTCTACGTTAGTTTTAAGTAAACTGTGGTGTATTGTAGTATAATATATGGGCTAGTTGTAGAATACTACAGTATTTTCTTAAATTACCACAGACACTAAAGATTTACCACAAAAGATTCACTTTACTATGGTAGTTCAAAATTACAACAGTATTTACTATCAATTACTACCGTTTTATTTTGTATTCTGGGATGTATTATGCAGTGCAAAACAAAATGTACATATGTAACTAAGAGTTACTATCAGAGGTTTAACATTAGAGGAAGAGGTCAGTTAACTAACATCTGAGGTAACGTAAATGAATCTGTCTCAGTTTCATCAAACTATTCTCTGCCTTCAGTGCGGAGAGGATTTAGAAACGAAACAAAAACTTACCGAATGAAATTAGAAAGATCTCCTAGGAAATATCGGTGAAAATAACACATATATTGAGTCGTTAAATTAAAATACAAGAGAGTATCGTCAGTGGTTTCTCCAGAAGTGTTCCCTTCCCTGTCTATTTGTTTACGCAACAGTTGCCGCGGTAACGCTTCCGGAAGTCACAACCTGTAATTATCTGTATCTTTTTACACGTGTATAAAAACAGATAAATAAAGATAAACAAATCATCTAGAAACTTTTCCCACTTTTAATTGTCTGGTTTTATATAGAGCAAATCCTATTTGTTTTTATTAACAAACATTTATCCTGTGTATCTTGATGATGTCGTCGAAAATATTAAGTTTATTAGTCTATTTAGTTGATTGTGGTGTTTGTAAGGGTCTGTTTTTTTAATAATGTCACTCAAATGAGCAAAAATGTTATTAGCATATATGATATGCCACTTTAAATGTAAGTCAGGGAGTCTTAAGTTATTGTAGATTGGTTATTTTAATAATTCACAATCATTTCGTTTGTCTATGTGGGTGTACACCTTCAAAAAAATTAAGCCCAGAATTGTATTTATTCATTAATTTATTCAAATAAAAAGTATTTTATATTATTTTATTTGGTTTGATTTGATTTCCTTTTTTATTTTTAGACAGATACTGTTAAAGAGTGACTAAATGTTATGCCACTGAGATAAAAGGTTTAATTAATAAAAGTTTAAAGCAGGAACTATTAAATTGTTTATAATAATAATAATTCATAATTATTCAAGAGCAATATGACCCATTATAACACCGCCTGAAGCACCATAAACTCACAAATATCCTTTAATAAACAAAAAACAGCAACAGAAAAGTGTAATGGGTGCTTTTGAAATATTCAGGAACATTTAATGTGTTTTTATTTAATTTAATGAGTTTGATTACTTTGGAATATAATAATAATTACATTGATCATTTAAAAAATTGTACATAATTGAATATAAATTCTAAAAACGAAATCAGAAAATATTTGAAATAAATGAAATATTTAAATTATCATTTATAGAACTTATTTCTTTAAATATAATATTGTTCAATATTTTGAGTCGGTGTTGCATTGACACCCTTTTGACCAGCAGATGCCGCCAATCTGAGATGCTTCTAGAGATTCGAAACTACAGTGTGAATCATTTCGGTTCAGTTGATTCAAATCAAAGTTCAATAAGTTAGATATTTAACAAAGATCAGATGTAAAAAAAATTATTATTAATAATTTTGACTTTTTTAAACTAAATATACAAGCCATTCCCCCCAAATATTATAAAAAAGAAAAGCTAAATAATAAAGCCTATAAACAAATAAAATTAAATCAGTCAGTTTTCTTATCTTTTAAAAAATCAGAATAGATCATGATTTGTATGTGAAATTATCCAGTATGGCTTGTTCTGCTGTATTCTTTATATTACCCTAAACACTTGTTTTAAAAACGGTATAAAAACGCATTTGTCATTAATATTGTGCTTCCTTAACAAGGATTTCTTATAGTTATTTAATCTATCAAATTTGATCTAATAAACATATTAGGGTGACAGCGTGGTGTCTCGGGTTAGCACTGCGGTCTTACCACAAGAAGGTTGCTGGATCGAGTCCTGGCTGGGTCAGTTGGCGTTTCTGTGTGGAGTTTGCATGTTCTCCCCGTGTTGGCGTGGGTTTCCTCCGGGTGCTCTTCCACAGTCCAAACATGCGCAATAGGGGAATTGATAAACTTAATTGTAAAGTGTGTGTGTGTGTGTTTCCCAGTACTAGGTTGCAGCTGGAAGGGCATCCACTGTGTAAAACATATGCTGGAATAGTTGGCGGTTCATTTTGCTGTGGCAATCCCTGATAAATAAGGGACTAAGCCGAAGGAAAATGAATGAATGAATATACTATAGTAATTTACAGTAAATACTAGTGTTTTTGAACATTAATATAGTACAGAATGAATCAGTTGTGGTGATTAAAAACACCAAGTTTAGTAATATAAACAATTTAAATGACTGTTTTGTATTTACCCAATACTGTAGTTTTATTAAACTATATATATATATATATATATATATATATATATATATATGACTACAATAATCACAGTTTACTGTAGTAAAAACTAAATTAGACTACAGTGTTTATTACAGTTTATCAATAATACAGTATCTCACATTCATTAGCAAAGTGTTGTTAATACTATAATATATAAAGAAAAAAACATTTTACTATAGTTAAGTTCAAAAACACTGGAATTTACTATATAAATTACTATAGTATTTTTCATATCGATCATGTCAGGGTTCATTTAACTGAACCCAACCTGCCAAGTCTCTACACACTCTTTGACTTTGCCTCAGAGTAAGTGTGTGTTGCCTGAGACAGACACTGTGTCACATAATATTGCAGTCGCACTAGACTTTGAGTTAACTGATATGACATCAGTGTGTGACTCAGCATATGACAAATAATAATAAATCCAAAAATGTTATCAAATATAATAAGACTTTTCTACAAAGATGCAAAAGTGAGGCTTTAAAGGGACAGTTCACCCAAAAATGAAAATTTCTTCATGATTTACTCACTCGGGAGGTTCTAAATTGTCTAAACCTTAGTTTCTGTTTAACACAAAAGAAGATATTTTGAAGAATGTTTGAAAAAAGCAGCCATTGACATCTATAAAAATTACCAATGACTGTAGCCAATGGCTGTTTTTTTCACAACATTCTTCAAAATATCTTCTTGTGTGGGGCGACGCAGTGGCGCAGTAGGTAGTGCTGTCGCCTCACAGCAAGAAGGTCGCTGGATTGAGCCTCGGCTGGGTCAGTTGGCGTTTCTGTGTGGAGTTTGCATGTTCTCCCTGCGTTCGCGTGGTGCTCCGGTTTCCCCCACAGTCCAAACACATGCAGTACAGGTGAATTGGGTAAGCTAAATTGTCCGTAGTGTATGAGTGTGAATGAGTGTGTATGGATGTTTCCCAGAGATGGGTTGCAACTGGAAGGGCATCCGCTGTGTAAAACATGTGCTGGATAAGTTGGCGGTTACCAAATACTAGTTTTCATTGGTGGTCCCTCAGCCAGATGTTAATAAAATTTACATAATCAAATAAAAAACAATATGATCTCTACAAACACAAGTAGTATCAAAGCAAGTAATTAAATTCAATTCTTGAGTCATTTTGATATAATTTAGAAAACTAATTTAAACCCTGCTGAAAAATCCAGCTTAAACCAGCCTAGGCTGGTTGGCTGGTTTTAGCTGGTTGACCAAGCTGGTTTTAGAGGGGTTTTGGCCATTTCCAGGCTGGTTTCCAGCTATTTCCAGCCTGATCTTAGCTGGTCAGGCTGGAAAATGACCAGCTAAATCCAGCTAAAACCAGCTGGACCAGCCTGGTTTAAGCTGGACAAAGCTGGTTTTGGCTGGGCTCCCAGCCTGGCTAGGCTGGTCAAGCTGGTTTTAGCTGGTCATCTGCCAGCCTGACCAGCTAAGACCAGGCTGGAAATGGCTGAAAACCAGCCTGGAAATGGCCAAATCCCCTCTAAAACCAGCCTGGTCAACCAGCTAAAACCAGCCAACTAGCTTAGGCTGGTTTAAGCTGGATTTTTCAGCAGGGAATAGTTTAAATGGCGTAATTAGCAATTAATTACTTGTCTGACATACAGCAATACTATTTCTGTTTTTCAGCTCAGCTGTGTTATGTTCAGCTGTCGGCCGGCAGAGGGCGCAAAAAACAAAACAAAAACAGTCGGTGTTAAAAACTGCTTCAGAGTTTCTCCCAGAGCCAGAGAGGGGTGCATTAGTGCCACTGAAGACTAATATTTGTGGCCGGTGTTCACTAGTTATCTTGTAAAAGGATTAAATGTAGCAGAAAATGTTTGGCCATTAGTATGCGGCTGACCGGGTGTGATGTTTCAGAGCTTCATAAAACATGATCAAATCTAAATAATAGAAGCAATGCCTGCTAAACATTATTGTGCAAGTAATTCAATCATACAACGTCCTTTTATTGTTCCAGTACTGCAGCCTTATTCTAAAATGCGCCTGTTTTCGCGATTGTCTTAGAACTTCCGTTTCAGTCGCCTAAGGGAGAAATGACAAGGAATAATAAACGGCAAAAAACAGTTAAACTACTTGCTCTACAAACATATGTTTGCATGACTATACAGACCAAGTAGAATAATATAACAAGGAAATATCAGTTTGCAACATCAAACAGCGAAACGAGCAGTTTTTAATGTCTAAAAATGAATGGAAGTGAATGAGACCGGAAGTCTCGTGCCAAAAAGATTTAAATGGCAGCGCCCGCTCGTCTGCGGAGAATAAGGTCAATATGGTTAATAGGAACTCATTAATATTATATGAGCAATTTCATGAAAATGTCAACCTTGCCATGAAAAGAAAAATGTTTTCACCAAAATAGCGAAACCGTTTCTACATTTTTTGCGCAGGCAAGTGTTTTACAGTACTTTAAAAATACTTAAAAACGTGTCTGTCAATGTTTTCAAACTATTATATTTGATTTACCAAAGTCACACAAATGATAAAAAAGTCACACATCCATAACGAAAAAGTGTCACATCCATAACAAAGCTTTTCCCTCAAGAATGCAAAAATGTCAAAATAAAATAAAATTAATCAGTTTTGTTCTATAAAGAGCCAACTCTTATCCTTTTGTTAAGGAATATTTATTTTGGGTTGTGCAGTTTTAATTCACAGAATTTCTACGAAATATGTTGTATACTGTAAACTCGCAGACTTTTTTGTCACATCCATAACGCTTGTTTATTTTCCTCATTTAAAGTATAAAAATGTTCACAGATTGAATTTTTTTGATCCCATAACTCTGTGGTTAGTTGTTTTGGAAAATATAAACAGATGATTCAATATAATGTTAACGTAAACTTTCTCTGCGAATTTATGTTTTGAATTTTTACTGCAAATGTCACATCCATAATGCTGGAATCAGCCATATATTCAATAAAAACTGAAAACTAGAATATGAAAAACATCTTTTCTAATGATAACAAGGGTAATCAAGTAACTAATTACCTTAATCGCACTCATCTCGGACAACAAAACTTGGCACTGTATACTAAACATGACTTACTCCAGCATTGCAGGAAAATTTCCCTTCATGTTCCTTATTATAACTCTGACACACACTCACACATCTGCATCGACCACTTTGTGTAACATTGGACTGCTAGTTACCTCACGCTACCTCCCTGTATAGTATTAAGACACTGTCACTTTATCATGTTTACAAGCTTTGTGCACTATATACGGTTTGCACTCTTTTAGATGTGCCCTTAGTTGTAATTGTATTGTGTACAATTTATATTTGTACTTACCTATTTTAGATTATATGCGTTTACTTTTCGTATTAATAGTATCTGTTATGGGTCTGAGTGTAAAGCAATTTCAATTCTCTGTATGTCCTGTACATGAGGTTGAATTGACAATAAAGCTGACTTTTAACAGTATAATTTACAGTAATTAACAATGTGAAAATGCAAAATAGCTAAATATGATAGAGAACATGTGATTCTGTTGTTAATTGTGGCTTTTTTTTATGCCGTAACGGAGCTGACATCAATACTAGAGCTGACATGTTCCACCATTTTGTGCTCGAGCTTCAGATGCCAACCTCAAACCACACACCACATGGCATGATGTCTGAAACTAAAACACAACTGTATGCATTGTCATCATGTTATTGCTTTTAAAGAGTGAATGAGAAGCTCACTGAAATATCACAGTAACAGAGTTGACATAATTAATCGTCTACTGGTGAATCCTGAACATTTCATATAAATTCATTTAAAACCACACGCTTCCATGGCTTCAGGAGTTTCCCGCCAGAGGAAGTGACAACATTTAGAGCAAGTCACATGCTTGTTCTATCAGTGCTACACAGATTTTTTAACCAAATGCATTTTAACCATGCCTTTAACTGCAGTGTGTAGTCCTGAAGAGAATCATTTGAAACATCTCAATCCTTTTTGATGATACTTTTTTGTTGCAAAGACCAACAAATGATCTTTAGAGACAATATCTTAAACACTTAATTAATATAATTTTGCTTGCACAAATGCATTTTTGGCCCAGGCTAGAATTAATGTATGACATGCACATTCTTAATTAGATTTATCTTGCTTGTTAATCTTAAATGAAGCATGTTATAGACAAACAAAAACATATTGTCTTGATTTAAGAAATAATAAGTATAATATTTTAAAATTTAATTAATTTAAATTTTTTATTTAAAATTAAATGTAAAATTTTTATTTAAAACTAAATTTAAAATTTTTATTTAAAATTAAATTTAAAATTTTAATTTGAAATTAAATTTTAATTTAAAATTACATTTTAAATTTTAATTTAAAATTACATTTTAAATTTTAATTTAAAATTTAATTTAAAATTTTAATTTAATTTAAAATAAAATTTTAATTTAAAATTAAATTTTAAATTAAGTGAGTTTTTCCTTAAACAAACAAAATGATCAGCCAATAAGCTAAATAATATCATGTCAAAAGAAAAAACATGATTACTTGGCTCACCCCACTGGCAGATTACTTACTATGTAAGTTATTGACTCTTCTAAAAGCATAAAAACACCATTATATGTTTGCAGATATTTCAGAAACATGCTCAGTGAACATATTTATCTAAAAAGCAATGCTGAAGTCAGATCTTCTGCTTTGAAAATGTGCGTTACGTGCTGGAACGTCTGTCTTTGTGTTGGTTCTTTTACCCCGCCCACTGCCAGTGTAGCCAATTATATTTCAGCACTCCGGGTTGCTTTGTTGGAAAACAGCCCATTTCATTCATTCAGCCAGGAAGGCTCTTAAAGTGCGTGTCTGGAGCGAAAAGTGACCTCCGGTGGACTGTAGCAGACTCCGAAATGAGACACAGGTTCAGAGTTCCACATGAGGTGGTTATTAATTGGTAGGTCCACACGGAATCTTTAGCTTATCATTGATTCTGTTTATTTACTTGTGCAAATGTGTGTAAATTATATTTATTCGGTTTTTAAATTAATTTTAGTATAATTATTGACTAATATGAAAATGTTCATATAATTTATTTACAATACAGTTTGTAAAGTAATATTTTCTGTCTTTTATTAGATATATTATAATGAGCAGGTTACATTGTAATTGAATGTCCTAACAACACGCTACACATTGAGACATGCAGTGATAAGCAATTGGGCTGTTAGAACCAGATGAAACACGAAAGAAATGTAAATGCAGCCGTTCATAAGCACAGAATAGTGCACTCACTGCACTCCAGCCAAATGGTAAGATCAATGATCTAATTAATACATATTAAACCTCTTTAACTTTATTAAATGTACATACTGAATCACTGCTATGTGTTGGTCTGCACTGAGTCTCAGTTCTAAAGTTCAGTTTCAATCAGTTTATTTTATTTTCCAGATATAAGATGAACTATCTGCTGCTGCTTTCAGTAGTATGGCAATAAATGTCAAGTAAAATGGCATTCAAGCTCACGTTATTAGCATTTAACATTGAATAAAGCACATGAGGTGTACCTGAGCTGATCATTGTCAGTTTTCTGTTGTTCAGCTGTGAGAAATAAAAGCTGTTTCTAAAATATAGATTTCAGGTGTTGGTTAGGACAAAATCTCCTTTAATATGTAAAATACTCCTATTCAGTGTTGTTGGTTTTATTTACAACATGATTTAAATCAGACTTAAAACAGCCTTTAGGCTCGATTGTCTGGCACACTCCTGTTGGTGTCGTCAATCTGGCAACCTGTGCTTGTGTGTTTTTAACCAGGTGTGCAATACCTAGTTCAAACACTGGGTGTCACACTTACATACGGCACCTTTAAGGAAAAACTCACTTAATTTTGACTTATTAATTCTCAAGTCTAAATATTTTGTGCTTGTGCTGAAAATGCTACTTGATTTAAGAATTTTTAGATATTCAGACTAGAAACTTAAACAATTTTTGCAATGCATTTCTTCCATCTCTGCAACTCAGAATGACCTAAAATCTGTCAAAGCAACAGCAAGATTTACTCCGGAAACGCAATATATTAAAAAAAAAATCATCAGTCTCATTTAAAATTACACATTTTTTTATTTTATTGGCAAAGATAAACAAAGTTGAAGCTGAGATCCTCAAAATATAGCTCACTCTAAAACTAGGACTTTGTGAAATTATGTCGAAATATAAAACAAAGAGGTGAAATAATCGCTCCACACAGATACACAACCATTCAATCTAGGAAATATCATGCTAATACTTTCACAAACACACACACACTTTCTCTCTATCTCTCACACACACACACTCCTCAAACTGAATAAACAAAACTGTGCGTTGACTGAACTCCTGTATATCCTGTTAGGGGCTCCTTGTACCATAGTAATTTAACACGGGTAAATTCCCCATATTAGGTTCAGTGTGTTTATGAATCATGACTAGACTTATGTTAGAGACGCCCTCACACAATTGTAAAGCGCTTTGGGTGTATGGCAATACACAATAATTGCGCGCATTATTGGCTCTGCTAGTCTATATAAATAATACAAGAAAAAAATCCTAAATTAGAAGGTACAAAGGTTTTCATGCCACACCTTATTCATAAAACTAGGGCACAAAATGAAAATAAAAGCAGCAAAACTTTTGAAAAAACTCCAAAAATAAAATAAAATACATTTTATACTGTGATTATCAGCGCGTTACTGATATGAGAAATAAATAATAGTTGGCAGATTCAAAATAGGAACTATTTTGTCATTCCTCAAACGTGCCATGAACACACAAACCTCCTGATCCGAGGCTTATTAGGTTTAAATAGGAAACGGTGTAAAGAAATAAGAAGTAAACAAAAAGTTCGCTATAAATACACTTTAAGGGACACCTTAATATGAGGTGGTACGAAGGATATCTCAGGAAACCAACAAAACTCTTCACTTCTTTTCCAACGCTTTCTGCTCCAGCGCCTTCTGTGCTTCGGCGGGTTTCAGAATATACTCGTTGTACATCGAATAGATGACTCCTGTACACAAAAACAGACATACAACACATTATACCACAGGTCTTAATGCTGGATTCTGATTGGCCAATTCTTCCTTATTACAGTCTATAGGTCTCAAACTGGATTCCTGGATGACCGCGGCTCTGCAGAGTTTCCAACCCTAATCAAACACAGCTGATCGAACTAATCAAGTTGTTCGAGACTACTGGAGACTACAAAGCAGGTGCGAGTTGGAGGTGGTAGGAGCTAAACTATGCTGCGGCCCTCCAGGAGTCCAGTTTTAGACTACTGATGTGGATGTTGGATGCTTGATTCTGACTGGTTGATGAGTATTCTAAGGTGTGCTGTTATTCTCAGCTAACCGCACAGATGAAGTAGATCCGGCAGGTTTTGAGTGCTTTACAGTTTTATATCACTACGCTGAATGATTCGAGTCATTTCACAGCTACAACAGGAAAAAAATATATAATAAAAATCACATCAGAAGGTTTTGGTGGAGATGTGGAGGAAACTAGTGCTACACACAAGAGCAGTTTGAGGACAAAAACCTGACAAAAGTCTGAAATACAACATATGAACAGCGACTTTATCTGTGGGAACAGTAGGATAAGTGGAATAATTCACACTATTCTGTTGAGTTATTAAAAAATAATGCAAATGCATTAATATGCAAATGCAATAACGTAGCCTTGGGTATTTTTCTGATAATTCAGAACAGCCCATCATCAATTGTTTATTTACTTAAAGTCCAGAACAGAAACTCTAACGGAATATTAAATTAGAAAACAAATGGTGTGGCTTGTTTTCTTTCAATTGCGAGCTGATTGGATGAAGTAGGCATTTCAATCAGAAACAGAATGTCAAATGAGAAAATAGTGGGTGTGGCTTGTTTTCTTTCGATTGCGAGCTGATTGGATGTAGTAAAGTAAGCATTTCAAACAGAAACCGATAATTAAATGAGAAAACAGTGGGCGTGGCTTGTTTTTTTTCAGACTGTGAGCTGATTTGATGTAGTAATATAGACATTTCAATCAGAAACAGAATATTAATGGAGAAAACGGTGGGCGTGGCTTGTTTTTTTTAACTGCGAGCTGATTGGATGTGAAAAAGTAGGCATTTCAATTAGAAACAGAATAAATGAGAAAACAGTGGGCATGACTTGTTTTTTTCGACTGCGAGCTGATTGGATGTAGTAAAGTAGGCATTTCAATCAGAAACAGATTATTAAATGAAAAAACAGTGGGTGTGGCTTGTTTTTTTTCGACTGCGAGCTGATTGGATGTAGTAAAGTAGGCATTTCATTCAGAAAGAGAATATTAAACAAGCTAACAGTGGGCGTGGCTTGTTTTTTTTCTACTGTGAGCTGATTGGATGTAGTAAAGTAGGCATTTCAATCAGAAATAGAATGTCAAATGAGAAAATAATGGGTGTGGCTTGTTTTTTCGACTGCGAGCTGATTGGATGAAGAAAAGTAGGCATTTCAATCAGAAACAGATTATTAAATGAGAAAACAGTGGGTGTGGCTAATTTTTTTTCAACTGTGAGCTGACTGGATGTAGTAAAGTAGGCATTTCAATCAGAAACAGATTATTAAATGAGAAAACAGTGGGCGTGGCTTGTTTTTTTCGACTGCGAGCTGATTGGATGTAGTAAAGTGGGCATTTCAATCAGAAACAGATTATTAAATGAGAAAACAGTGGGTGTGGCTTGTTATTTCTACTGTGAGCTGATTGGATGTATTAAAGTAGGCATTTCATTCAGAAAGAGAATATTAAACAAGCTAACAGTGGGCGTGGCTTGTTTTTTTTTCTACTGTGAGCTGATTGGATGTAGTAAAGCAGGCATTTCAATCAGAAACAGATTATTAAATGAGAAAACAGTGGGTGTGGCTTGTTATTTCTGCTGTGAGCTGATTGGATGTATTAAAGTAGGCATTTCATTCAGAAAGAGAATATTAAACAAGAGTGGGCGTGGCTTGTTTTTTTTTCTACTGTGAGCTGATTGGATGTAGTAAAACAGGCATTTCATTTAGAAAGATCCCTGTAAATGAGTTTTAGGAGAGTTCTTACAACCTAACAGATTCCTCCTCCACACCATTTCTGTTTATCGTCAAAACTGACAACTGAAGGGGCGTGGTTAAGCATGTTAGCCACACCCAATACCTCAGACGGACCTAATCTGACAATTTGACTGGAAACAAACAGGAAGTGCATTTCAGATTTCCGTTAAAGATCACAAAGGCAAACTATTGTTTTATTTAATGACAAGCACGGATGAACTGTTCACCACAAAAACTAGCAATGTGAGCTAACAAAATGAATATGGTTAGTTTGGATTTCATGTGTACTTTAAACCATGCATGTGTATTGTGATGAAGACTGTCTCACCTAAAGTCATGGCTCCGACCACGAAGCCTTGTGCAGCCACACGCATGTGAATCAGGTGCACTGACATCTTTGTGTCTCCTCGGCTCTTCAGCTTGAACAGTCTGTACGCCACAATGGCAAAGAACCCAGCCATCCCTTGAAAGACAGTCAAAGTAGAGCAATTAGGTTTTTTTAACCTCGATTAAAGTGTTTTTTATTAAGAAATGAAAGCAGTTTTAAAATTTTGTAAAACTATTTTACGGTCAATATTATTCACCCCCCTTTAGAAACATTGATTGGCTACAGAACTAATTACTGTAGTACAATGACTTGCCTAATTATTCTAATTAGGGTTAGGGTTAGCCTATAAATTGCACTTTAATCTGAATACTAGTATCCTATGCAAAATAACTACTAAAATGTTGTATTAATCATTAACAGTGCATTATATATTTAATTTTGGATTTCAAACTTTTAATTTCACAAGACGGTTAATTATTTTGCCTTCAACTATCAAAAAACGTGCAATAAAACTTCTCCGTACAGTAAAATTCAGCCTCTTATTCATTCCTGAGCCAAAAAATGACTAACATTCATCTTTAAACATGATTTACAGTAAGACTCCCACTAAAATGTAATTCTGAGTAACAGTAGTTCATATCTAGAACAAGAATCATTTGATTTCATGATAAAAGAAAATGTATGGATCACAGTACAGCCACAAACACTAATTCACTGCCAGTTTTACTCTCTATACGTTGCCATTAACCTTTAAACCACTAGGCTTGCCTAAAAATCGCTTAGAATATGATCAAATTTAGGATGATCATTTATTATTTGAGAGACATTCAAAAGCACAGAATGAGATTGTTGTTTTATCTGAATATTAATACATCCGTTACACACGTTGACAATTTATCTTCTCAAACATTGAAATACTGAAAACTTTTAATAAAAAAACTTAACAAATAGAAACCCCATGAACCGAAAATAAAAACATGACCAATTTCATATCTAATATTAATAATTCACAACAGTTTACCTGCAGGGACGAATGGATTCTGCTTGATTTTTCTCATCAACTTGGACTCATTGTCTTCGTATCCAATGTCGCTCATCTTGGCTAAAATGAAAAATTATAGGGGGAAAACAACGATTAGAAATTATTAAAGGTCATAGTGTAATTCTCTGCAGAAATTTTTAATTTGGAATTTTTTATTATGCTTATTTTGTGCCGCTGCCAGGTTTCCACTTGTATTAAGCCAAATATAATATAGTTAAACAAACCGGCCAATAAATAAGTCAAACACAATTCACATTGATGCTAACTATATTAAACTGTGCTGAACAATAAAAAATTAAATTAAATTAATTAATTAAGGAGGAAATTATTTTAAAAATGTGATGTTAGGCTATTTGTGAGCGGTATCAAGAAACGGTTAATCATAAATAAGAGTGGATAACGAAAATCAATCAGTTTATCTGAATAACCGAGTTCAAAACTGATACTCATGTCATATATGAAGGTCAAGCGATGCGTTCAGGCCGTTTTAAAATATAGATTTTACACGGTTTAAATTAAAACAACAGCGTATATGTGTAATAAAACTAGCAAACATACAAGAAAATAATCTTTTAATTTAAATTTGACTATCAAATTCGATGTAAGTGGAGCCATTTCCTCCTCACAAGTCTCCAAAAACACACAAAAATCACTCTCGTTATGCCTTATATAAGATTATCTTGGATAATCTAAGCTTTAAATATATGAGGCTAAATATTTAGATGTTATAATAAGATGTAAGACATACCTATATAAGTATTTCCCACTGTAGAGAAGAAAAGCTGCTCTCTTTTCGCCGGTTCAACTGCTGCGTGTGACTGTCGGCGTGCCGGGAACACTGTGATGTAACATAGCTTACGTCAAAGTGACGCAACTGTCAGGCAATGCGCGCGACAAAATAAAAGTCTACAACAAGGCGACTTTCCAGCGCAGCTGGGAGATCACACATTTGGAAATATCCATCCCCTTTAATCCCAATTATTTTTGTACTTTAAATCAGCTGTAAAAAATTCAAAGTAATTATTCACACACATTTCTAAAATCATAATTTAAATGTTATACCTTTATTTTGAAGAAATCCGCCTTTTGAAGGAGTTTCAAAGGAATTTTTTTCCCCGCATGTGAGGGGTGTGACCTTATGAGTGCAGCCGAGGTCAGTACTCATCAAAGACAGACTGTAATTCACATTTAATTGTCATAAACAGGAAAGGGCGTCTTCGTACTGTATTTATTTATGTTTATTTTGATTAATTAAACGCGTTTACATTAAACTGCGGTACTCATGTAGTCTATTTATGCATATGACTGTCACTCAGTGTCTAAATCTTGTAATAAATAAACATTTTACAGCAGTGTATCTGAAATCTGCAGTTCGTAATTGACGTCAGATAAACTGTGTTTGCTGAAGCCTTCTGCATCAATTCTATTTTGCATATTAATGCGCTAATTTAAATAAAATCAAAGGAAACACGAATTGATGACGTACTTAAAAGTCACAATGCATCTTATGTCTTTGCCTAAACAATGTAAAACATGAATAAATAAATAAAAATAACACTTTCCACTACTTTTACAGTCGAAATATAATCACCGATCATTATTTAATTTGGAGTATATTTCTAGTTCTGCTTCTTAATGCGGTTGAATACATAAATAGGCTGGAATCTGTAGCCTTTAAATGTGTGTTGTCTGAACTCAAACATGTATTTAAATGAACATTCGGTGCTCTGGATCAACTGTAATACTTATATGACTCGATAGATGGCTTACAATGTTGAGCTGAGTCACTGTGACTCTATATAAGCTCTGTTCGCTTAATACACCAAGTTTAACAATATATATTTATTTTATTTTCGGCTTAGTCGCTTTATTAATCAGGGGTCGCCACAGCAGAATGAACCGCCAACTTATCCAGCATTTGTTTTCACACTCTTCCAGCTGCAAACGAAAACATCCATGCACTCCCATTCACACACATACACTACGGATAATTTTAGCTTATTCAATTCGCCTATAGCGCATGTGTTTGGACTTGTAGTGGAAACCGGAGCACCCGGAGGAAACCCATGCCAAAACGGGAGAACATGCAAACTCCACACAGAAATGCCGAGGCTCAAACCAGCAACCTTTTTGCTGTGAGGTGATCGTGCTACTCACTGCTCCACTGTGACATCCAAAATTTGTAATATGTAATAAATATGGTATATGTTTTGGCTTCGTGTAGATTCTAACGTGACTTGGGTGCATGTATAATGATATACCATATATGTAAGGAATAATTAGACCACTGGCCTTTAAAATATTAGCAAAATAATGTATGTCCGATGAAGTTTTGCATTATTTTTTTAATTGTTCAATGGAGTTAAGTTCATTATTTTGCTTATACTACTGTTCCCTCAGCTAAAGTCACTTTTCAGGTGTTGTATTTAAGTCATTTGTCAGGTTTCAGTCCTCAAACTGCTCCTGTGTGGCACTAATTTCCTCCACATCTCCTCCAAAGCCTTCATTTGTGTACTGATGTTATTTCTGATTGTTGTAGCTTGGAAATAGCAGCTGTAATGCACTCAAAACCTGCCGGAACTACTTTATCTGTGTGTTTATCTGAAAATAACTCATCAGCCAATCAGAATCAAGCATTTTACATATATAATGACATAACATATAAGGACGAATTGGTCAAACGAACATGCAAACTCACGATGAACGGTGTAAAAAGATGATTGTGGTGCCAAGAAATGCAGCTTCCTGATACGTGACTGGTGTGAACACCTGGAGGGCAAACAGGATAGAGCTGCACACACCTCTATAATTATTTGTCTGTTACACCACAAGGATCATCTTTCTCATTTCTTTTAAACATGGCCACATTATTAGGTTCACCTTGCCATTACAAGTCTCCTGACATTTTATCCTACCCATCAGATTATGCTCGCAACATTGTGGATTTGATTGGTTCTGAGGGATTGAGCGGTTTGGGTTAGTAGCACAATGATAGCATATTTCATCATTAAAATGAACTACCTTGTGAAAGCTGGACACATTTCTCTGAGATAGAGTCATCGATGTCATACATCGTACAAATCTTCCCTTTCACTACACTCCATTAGGGCCTTGAAATCTGATGGAGACCAGTGGAGTATAATGAATTCATTTCCATGTTTAAAGAAACCGGTTATCCTGGTGTAATGTGAGTAGCCATCACACAATAGAGGTATTGTGTTTATTAAGGAATCAACATGGTTTGATTTACTGTTCTGATGACCATGTCTTGGTGAGCGGGTGTGAATTGTAGGCTCCTTTGTAAATATCTAGTTTAGTAAGTAAATAAGTATTTAAGTAAATAAATTAATTAAGTCATCAGTATGTATTTAATGTTATTAAATAAGTAAATAGATATGTAAGTAAATAAGTATTTAAAAAAGTATTTAAGTAAATAAATTAATATGTATGTATGTTAGTAAATAAGTATGTAAGTAAATAAATAAATAAATAATCAGTATAATTGTATATATGATAGTAAATAAGCAAGTAAAAAAAATATGTAAATAAACAGGTAAGTAGGTCCGTAAATAAATAACCATGTAAGTAAATAAGTAAATACGTAAGTAAATAAGTATTGAACTAAATAAAGTAATATGTATGTATGTTAGAAAATAAGTATGTATGTAAGTTTGTAAGTAAATATATAAATAAATATGTATGTAAATAGATACTTGCTTGAAAACAATAAATGTAAATACATATCAAAAATAAACAAAACAGACATTCTCCAGAAAAGACATATTAGATATACTGTGAAAAAATGTCCTTGCTCTGTCAAACATCCCTTGGGAAATATTCAAATATTAGCAAATAATTACAATATCATGTAAGTCTCCCTGCTGAAAAATCCAGCTTAAACCAGCCTAGGCTGGTTGGCTGGTTTTAGCTGGTAAACCAGCCTGGTTTTAGAGGGGTTTTGGCCACTTCCAGGCTGGTTTCCAGCCTTTTCCAGTCTGGTCTTAGCTGGTTAGGCTGGGAGATGACCAGCTAAAACTAGCTTGACCAGCCTAGCAGGCTGGGAGCCCAGCCAAAACCAGCTATATCCAGCTTAAACCAGGCTGGTCAAGCTGGCTTTAGCTGGATTTAGCTGGTAGTTTTCAAGCCTGACCAGCTAAGACCAGGCTGGAAACCAGCCTGGAAGTGGCCAAAACCCCTCTAAAACCAGCCTGGTCGACCAGCTAAAACCAGCCTAGGCTGGTTTAAGCTGGATTTTTTAGCAGGGTCAGATTCAAATATCTTTTGAATATTTGTATCTTTTGAATAAATTGTGGACTGAATATTGCTACACTACCCTGCTAAAAAACAGCTTAAACCAGCCTAAGCTGGTTGGCTGGTTTTAGCTGGTCAACCAGCCTGGTTTTAGAGGGGTTTTGGCCACTTCCAGGCTGGTTTTCACCATTTCCAGCCTGGTCTTAGCTGGTCAGGCTGGAAAATGACCAGCTAAAGCCTGCTTGACCAGCTTGATTTAAACTGGCCATAGGTTTTTGGTCATCTCCCAGATGGACCAGACCAGGCTGGAAATGGCTGAAAACCAGCCTGGAAGTTGCCAAAACTCATCTAAAAGTCTGGTCGACCAGCTAAAACCAGCCAACCAGCCTAGGCTAGTTTAAACTGTTTTTTTTTTTTTTTTTCAGTGGGGATACATTAATTAACTAGATACAAAGACTATTGATTTGTTTTATTGAAAGACAAGAAACATAATGCTGTGTATCTATGCACACACAGAAATTAATTACACACACAACCAGCGAAATACTCGTTTTGCTAGTGTTTTTTTACTGGTGGATTACATACAAGTACAATAACGCCACCTAATGGTTATCAACTGTAATAAATACTGTGGACATTAGGTTCAAGAAAATGGTGTAGTTAATTTGTTTATACAACATATTCAAGTAATAGTGTGGTTCAAAAATGTACGATCAATTGTTGTATTTTTTCGTATTTTTCAATACATCATTCATTCACTGCTGTCGTTTTCATGTGACTATCTTTAGTTGAGTCGCTATACTGCAACGCGGATGTTTTGTATTAGCCTATTGTTTTAGAACTTTCGATTAATTTGCTTATGAATGGGGAAATGAATAATGTCAGTAAACGATCAACGAACTACTTCCTCTACACGCATGTGTGTTTATGGTAATACATGATTAAAACAAACATAATAAGACAGTTTCCATCCATCAGAAGCTTCAGAATCTTACCGGAAGTAGTTCCCGATCATTTTGCGTACTCGATCTTGTACGTTACTGTGAATTAGAAATTGGCTTCAAGGCCTACTCTATATTTATTTCTTTGTTATATAAAGTGTGCTATTTCAGATGCTGCCAAGGGCTTTAGTTGACCACTTATCTAGATAGATGCTATTTCTAGATAGATGCTATTATAGCATCTATTTATCTAGATGCTATTTCCAGTAATTGGTCCAAGTATACCCTTGCCAGACAGGGACACAAACAATTTATTTACACACTTTGATTTTTCATTACTTTACGCTTTAAAATAAACTATATAAACGTCCCAGATGAAAAAAAAAAAAAAAAACGCCTAGGTTTTAGCTGTTCGATCAGCCTGCTTTTAGAGGGGTTTTAGCCATTTCCAGCCTGGTCTTAGCTAGTCAGGCTGGGAGATGACCAGCTAAATCCAGCTTGACCAGCCTACCCAGGGTGGGATCCCAGCCAAAACCAGCTTCTGCTTAAACCAGACTGGTCCAGCTGGTTTTAGCTGGTCATTTTCCAGCCTGATCTAGCTAAGACCCGGCTGGAAATGGTTGGAAACCAACCTGGAAATGGCCAAACTACCCTCTCA